AGTGTATCGCATCGCCAAAGGCACCGCCTACGGCCCCGAGGGACATAATATTATGTTGCAGGACAATGCAAGACAAATAAGCTTTGATGAGAGCTGTTCAAAACAAGTCCCCAGTGGACTTTGAGTCTCACAACATATCGATCTTTCAAGACCTACACCGCTCCACTTTGCTATGGAGGAAATCAATGAGACCCATCACACAGCGGCTCCAGGAAGCAGGCATACCATACAGATAGACTACTCCCAGATCTCTCATGGTCACCTGAGATGAGCAAATCAAGTCCACCGATATAGCAGAGTGGACTAGGAGATGGTCCTCAAGAGCGGAGAGTACATGCCATCAACAGCAAGGCATGGCAAACATAACCCCCTTCACTCCAAGAATTGAACAGGAGGCAGTGACATAAGGAACCAAGCCTCCACTGTTCCTGTCTCCTCTTAATCTCCACTCTCCTAAACTATAATCCAATACTATTTGTAATTCTAACCAGTTTGAAGTTCCAGAGAACATCTGTGCTAAAAATATGACAAACAGAAGCGGGGGCGCTTTTAGAGTTCATTGACAGCTAGCCATTTTTCGCCCCCCCCCCCCCCACAACGCCCCGGTTGACCCCATCGATTAGGGGCTTTGCATGACCTCCTGTCTTTAGATTACAAAGATACAATGCAATGTATTAGTTTTTGCCCTTTTGTTTCTCTTTGTTCTTTTTTGGTTTATATTACAGCTTAGCAAACTGTTTATAAAGAAAGAAGGGACAGAATAAAGAGAGAAGGGACAGAACAAAAAGAGAAGGGACAGAATAAAGAGAGAAGGGACAGAATAAAGAGAGAAGCTTCCCCAAACTCCGGCCCTCCAGATGTTGCTGAACTACAACTCCCATGATTCTATGAATAAAATAGATAGGCTGAGAATCATAGGAGTTGTAGTTCAGCAACATCTGGAGGGCCGGAGTTTGGGGAAGCCTGCCCTAATTGAATCTAGTGACAAGGGTAAGTATAGAGACTGCAGGGAGGGCCAGATCGTTAGAGCTTGCTATGCCACTATAACAGCATTAAAGCCATCCTTTAGCTGGATGGCATAGCATGCCCTTACACTGTGTACAGGTTAAAGAGCTGCATGTAAGTCTTCAAAAAGTCTGGGTCCACTAAAAAATGGCTCCAGCTGACAGAGGGGAGCCCCAGGTAATAATTGATATTGGGATTCCCTGGTGTGAGCAGGGATTTAACCCTGCTCACACCAAACTGCAAGGCGTTCCATGCCATCCTAAAGGCATTAAAGCCCACTCTGTCTAGGATGCCATGGAACGTGTGAAAGGGGTTAAACAAAAAACTATTACATGTCCATGTTGATTGACTTACATCATTAAAACTGAAAATGAATTGCATGAAAGGATTAGGGCACATCGTTAATTAATCTGTATAATTTATAGAGACGGGACTTCTGGTAAACTGGTTGCCTGTCATATTCTATATATAATAAAAAAAAAAAAAACCCAACTAAAAAAAAAACAGCCGCTACCATCAATGAGATTTAATGGTATCTAACATAACCCCCTTTAAACAAATAACTTTATGCTCGATGAGGTGTTTTTGATATATACCCTTGGCTCACTGTCCCATTCCCATAGTGGGGTTAATGAAACATAAAATATAAACAACGAGAAGCACACTATAAAATATACATTTTTATTCACTTAATGCTAAAACAAAAAAACTTAACCAGAGCATGGAACTCATATGCGTTCCTACTACCCAATATTCTGCATCACATTGAGATTTTCGGCACTAAACCACAGTGTTCCAAAAACAATACATCACAGTGCGAGTATGTCAGGATTCCCCCCCAAAAAAATCGGCATGACACCAAGGCTTAGAATGCACATGCGTTTCAAATGTGCAAATCTCTTAAGGGAAAAGTTGGCATAAAATTTAAAAAGCGGAACGCACATGCTTTTGAAAAGCATGAGGGATAATAGTCCGGTTGAGAGTGAAGCTTACTCCAAGAGCATCAGCTGCAGTATGTCCTCCATGAAGGTGGCCTGTCACCCACTGACCCAGTGAGAGGCGGCTCGGTGCATACGGCAGGCCCACTCGGTATACAAGTCTATATCCATTTTGCATGTCTATGAATATTCTGCGGGCCAGTAAGACTTCTTTCACCGTCTCATAACTGTGAATCTCAGTGTCAGGGATAGCTTGGAATGCCTCTGCAACCTTCCCTGACAGTTGACCAGTTGACAATTCAGTCTTGGCTACTTTGTTGAGGGTACACTGGTGCTTGGAGTCTGTTAGGTATCCATTGATTTTATTCTCTGAATCCTGGAATGCCTTGAATGCGGCAAAGAGAACCTTCTGTGTCTCTGGTTGAGGACTTGGACTTCCACTTGGAGATGCACATGCTTTCTGCAATTCTATGACCTGGAGCTGGTCAGCAGCATCGTCTAGCACATTCAGGATGACCTCTTGTGAGGGTTTTGGACCCAAGAGAGCCAAGCTGCTCTGGATTTCCATCATCTGTTCAGACTCCTTGGTATATGCTGGGGAGGCCGATGATGCTGAGCTGACTCAATCTATCTCCATGAGTTCAGAGAGGGGCGTCTTCTTGGACTTGTTGCTTTGTCCCTGGACTTTCAGCAGCTCTTACAGGTTAATTTGCTTCAGCTGGTCATACCCGCAGCTTCTCCTGTTGGATTCCGTAAAGGGACCATCCCGCCGCTGCCACCAGATGTGGTGGATCACCAGAGTATCACCACCAAAGGTTCCCTTTCCTTCAGTGTTTTTAGCTCTCTAGAGTAGCTTCAGTGATTATAGCTGTAGGGATCTAGCCTCCCTCCCCCTCCCCCCACCCCCATACATAAGACAAGTCTTAATGCTGGGAGTAGAACTGGTTTATTGTCACAGGTCACCTTTTATACCTGGGGTCCCAGGGAGAACATTGGTGTCCGGGGACCCAGATTAGTTGTCAAACCGTTATAAAAAGGTTTAAAAAATTACTCTGAGAGATGTCAGGTGTACCTCTTGATGGCAAAAGCTCTTTCAGCAGGACAATGCACCTTTCCACACTGCAAACATTGTTCAGTAATGGTTTAAGGAACATGACAAAGTTCCCCAGATCCCAATCTGATTGAACATCTGTGGGATGTGCTGGAACAATAAATCTAATTCAGGTAGGACCCCCATTGCAACTTGCAAGACGTAAAGTATCTGCTGGTATTGACTTCGTGCCATATACCACAGGACACATTCAGAGGTCTTGTGAAGTCCATGAATCAGAGCTGTTTTGGTAACACGAGGGGACCTATATGATATTAGGCAGTTGGATTTAATGTTGTGGCTGATTACTGATGTACTGTTGAACAACAAAATGGACAGCGCACTTTGATTTAAATACTCCGTTAATAGGAAAAAAAATTAAAATTAAAATGAACAGAGAAATATTTTGATGCTCCCACTACCTTTCTACCACATATATGCCCTAAGCTATGCACTGCAAATTAGGAGAGCTAAATCAGCTTCTTGTAGCTGTAGTGGAGGCAGGGATAGGCGGTTGGTGGACTCCAGGTAAGAAGTCAAACCGCTCTAAAATGGTTTGAGTACTTACAATGGAGGGATGTTTAGGCACTCTTGGCACTATAATCATTACAGCACACTGTAATAGTTACGGTGCTTAGACTGTTCCTTTAAATGACAGCAACCTGTATAAAATAGTGATTTTGCAACATTTTAACTAATTACAATATTTTGAATATAAGCCATCAGAATTCAAATTGCCACTGCTTTGTGATAAATTGCTAAAACTGGCTTATACGGTCTTAAAATTACCCCAGGCGCTATCTGTCTGTGACATTACCATATTGACATCCTTGACAACCTTACTGCATGTCACAAAAGACCTGCAATAAAACAGCCAGATCAGTATTAGTAAACATGGGGGAATTAAAAGGTGTTGCCTTTTAAGCTACTGCATCGAAAATTCCAGTTCTCAACATATTGAGACAATAAAAAAGTAATCAGCGCACACATTGGATAGACCGATTGACTGACAGATAAATAGATGAATCGCTGAACGCAAATAAAATGTTTCCCACTCAGCCAGATGAACAGTATTTGTTGATGTTTTAAATTAATTTTAATCCAGACAGGCATTTATATTTGCAGACAGAGTTAAATCATAATGTGAGGCTGATGTCAGACTGAGCATGACCGCTGCATATTTAGAGATACTGTTCTTCGCCTCACACAAGAAATATATATTTATTTCCTTTTAGTATAATAAAAGGAAATCAGAGAAAAAGGTGGGGTGAGCAGCCATCTTGATTTTTTTTTTTATGACTGTAAAGACAAAAATATGCAGAAATGCATTGTCTGTTAACGAGTCTCATATTCGTTGAATCCTGATTTCCACATGTGATCAATTTATCTTACTGCTAATAGTTTAAAATAACACTAGGATTTATATTCAGTTATTATGCAGATTACAGCATGTGTTTCCTTTAGTCTACTACTTGCTTCAAATTATACGAGATCAATGGCGGCAATTCATCTTTGAAGTTCTATACTCACCAATTTCACTCTTTGAGGTTTATACTGGCTGTATGATAATCTCCCAAACATATTTTACCTACAGTACATATCTCAGCTCGACTGGGTGTACTACTTTCCATTACCTAAAAAGCTCACGCATTGTTACCAGGAAGACAATACAGTAAAGACAATTTAATCTAAATAACCTTTCTGCTGAATTCTGAAGAATTGCCAGGGCACAATTTTACCATCATGGTTAACCCATTTTCGAACAGTTTAACCCCAAAGTTGATATCCTGGTGCAAAACAGATCTGCTTCATATGTTTCTCCAGCTGCATTACACCCCAGAAAGGTTTTATTTGGTTGGTAGCTGGTGAAAGATTAGGTGTGCCAGCTGCTTCTCTCAGCCTAACATTGACTGCCCATTATGAATAATACCACATACTATTACACACAATGTGTGGCCTGGGATAGGCTTTGAGTGTTAGTTAACACTCTTATCCTAATACTCTTATCCTTATTGTGTATAGATTTTAATTACAATTTTGCAGCATTCTACATCTTAACCCTGCCACCTTGTCCCTCTTAACCTTCTGTGTCCAGTATTCCAGTTGTACATGTCATCAGTGAGCACCACAAAAGATTCTACTATTATATATAGAAAGTTGAGAACTGAACCACATGTGAGAGAAACCCCACCTCTGAGCAGAACCGAGAGTTTGCACCAGGAGCTTTAAATCTACCTTTGAGTCCCTCACTCCATTTTAATATCTTCATTGCTGAGTTAAAAATGTCCAACATTTCAAGCACCATAAACCAGAACGAGAGGCTTCAGATTCTTCAAGTTACTTCCTGGAGTTGGCAAACCTCAAGGCGATGATATCTAGTGATTTGCAATATAATTTTGGAATGGTTAATTTGCATATTTTTATTGCATTAAAAAAAGGATGTGTCAGCTTCAGCCTGCCTGGTGTATGCCTTATAGACATTTCAAACTGCTGTGATCTAAAACCATATAATCTGTTCAGAGGACATTGCATGAATGAACAAGAAACGGATCATACAGGATCATTCCCAACAGGAATAAATGAAGAGCACTTGTGTGTGTGATACCACACAGGTGTGTATGCAAGGTGCCTAACAATGCATGCTTGATCGAAATAGAAAACACTTTCATACAGTGGCAAGTGATTCTGTGGACCTGACTGGAAATTGTTCCAGCTTTACTGTGGAGTTAACATGGAGTTTTGCGTGTATAACAAATTCCCCCAAATTGATATGTCTGTATGCAAAACTAGCTTTAAAGAGGGGAACGACAGATATACTTACCTGTTCCTCTTACTCCTCTTTGCTGCCATCTTCCTTTTCTGGGTCTTCAGCTTTTGGTGGCTTCATCTACACAAAACTACAAAATAAGGGAGGGAGGTTTGAGGAAGAACCCAAGACATCCCATAGATAATCAAGTTTGCTCAATGAGATTCCAGAGGGAAAAGGCGGAATGCAGTGGCAAAAGATCTGCCTAAAACCATAATTGGACTTTGAGAAATTGTCTCAAACATTTCTTATTTGTCTTTAAATGTTAATGAAATTACAATTTTGTTTCCAGTTTAATATACATAAAGGGTGACACAATCGTAGAGTAACAAGAGTTCCCTGGTTCTAAAACAAAAGAAACTTGAAATTTAAGGAGTTGGTATAATGGACTGAAGAGTCATAATTTGAAAGATTTGGGTACAACCACAGAGTTTTTGTAAGATGCATTAAGGTTGTGAGAATGAGTTCAGCATGTGGGATTCTCCGAGTAAGCGCGAGGAGGAAATACCATGGTCCGGAGTTACATTGACAGAATTGTTGACCTTTACCATGTTTGTGGGCTACTCATAGATTTTGTTGACTGAGAGAACCATTCCCATGGTGAGGAATCCTTGTGTTGTAGTGATGCTTTGCATTGCCAGGGACTGGGAACCTGATAAGGACTGTGGTAATGATGGAGTCAAATACAAGGCAATTCTAGAGGAAATCTGTTTCAGTCCGCAAGACACCTGGGACTGGGACAGATGTTAACCTTCCAGCTGCATCATGAGCCTAAACGTTGTGGTTGTTTAAAAGAAAGAACTTAAATGTCTCAGAATAAGCCAAGCAAAGCCAAGTCTATATTTTGATTAATAATCTGTAAAAAGACGTGAAAATTCCTGCCTACTAATGAGAGAGCATGGGCAATTTTCACAGAAATTATTCCAAGAATGGTCAAAAATTGTAGGATCCAGATGTGCAAACTGGAAGAGACATACCTCAAGAAACTCAGCTGTAACTACACCCAATAATATGAAGTATTGAATAGATATGCAACAAACAAGTGACTTTCTTTTTGTTTTATTATAGTTTGTGTTATTGTTAAAAATATGTTCAAAAGTGTTAGATAAGTTGCATAAATTAGACTGTCAAAATCACAATAATTTATTGAACCAGGAAATATTATGTATGTGCATGTAGGAATTTATTAACGGAACAATGAATTTTAGTAAAACGAAAAAGGCAAAATGTAGAATAAAATAACCACAGCGTAGTAAAATGAATTTGCATAATGAATGCTAATGCCTACATTTTGTAATGCCATTTGTCTTTAAATGAATTATAGTTTGGTGTTCAGTGAATAAATGACACTGAAGTCTTTTCAGCAGGGCACACCGTCCCCTGCGAAGTTTCACATTTTTTCCTAACAAATCTTTTTGGAATGCACGCCTACGAGGGGAGATAAAAGGATAGGCCTCGCTATAACAAAGACGAGCCACACGTCAGACTCAGAATAGTTTTAAAAAAAACATCTAAAGAAATATCTACAGTTAAACAAAAATATTATGTGTATATATATATATATATATACATACATATATATCTGTCTCAAAAATAGTTTTTGTTTAACTATATACACTGGGAGTGGAAATCTACATTGACACACATAGGCATGTGTAAATATACACAGATTAAAAATGAAGTTTTTGTTTAGCTTATTTACATTGTTGCCTAGCCATTCCCCCCCTAGCCCCCCTCACATGCTATTCTGCATAATTGACAGGGTCAATTTAATGCCATTTCCTACATATAGGCAATGGGCCCCACCCACACTATGTCTGTGTGTTTATATATCTCCCCACATACATGTATACATTGCACATACCATATATATATATCTATATATATGTACTTATGAATTGTGCCAGCTGCCCCCAGCCATTTTGTGTTACACCAGAGAGAGAGAGGCTGCTGTGTATAATAGAAATGGTCTTAATAAAAGGGGGAGTAGCTGCTGTGTGATTCAGGTGGGGGAGGGATGAGGAAGGTTTATAAATATCTCACACAGCCTCATTTTATTATTTTTTTTTTAACTTTACATATAATAATTGAAGGGGCGGCCATCTTGGTTCCCTGTCAACTTTCTATTTGATCTGAATAAAAATAAATCCCCTTCCAACAAATCCTTTTTTTTTTCTTCTCTCTAATATTTAAAAAAACAAAACTCCTTTTTTCCAAATCAGCTTTCCTCTTATTTATATATTTTAAGTGTTTTGATTTTTTTTATTTTTTCTTCGATTCGCAATTTAAAAAAAAAAAAAGGGAAGTTTTTTTTGGACAAAGAAACGCGGATTTCACCCCCTCCGCCCCAGTGTTGATTTTTTTTTAATCTTAAAGTGATATTTTTAAATTAATATTTAGAGAGATTTTATGAAGTAAACATTGGGGATCTCTCTGGAAGAAGTGAATTTTGAGGTAAATTTGCGGCTTTCTGAGGTAAACTCTCGGCTTTTCTTTCCCCCCCGAAAGGAAAGTTAGTCGATCTCCCCGCGGCCGTTCCCCGGGAGCCGAGCTCGGTAACACGGCCAATGTCCTCCCCGCTGAAGGACGAGGAAGAAGAAGAGGAGGAGGAAGAAGAAGAGATGGCAGTGTCCGAAGAAGGGGACGGCGAAAAGGAGGAGGAAGACGAAGATGAAGAAGAGGAGGAGGAAGACGAAGATGAAGACGACGAGCCGCAGGCGACACAAAGCCGCCATAGCCCCAGCCTCTTTTCCCCGCCAACGGCCTCGAGGGAGCCGGGGAGTGTTGAAACCGACGAGACACCAACGGTCGCCGCTGCCGCAGGTAAACTGGGAGGGGGAGCGGGCGACGAGGGGAGGCTAGAATGTTGGGGCGGCTTCAAGGCCCCCCTCGGCCCCTTTACATACTGCATTAACCGTCGGACGGTCTCACTGCAGAGAGGGAGGGGGACAGGGGGACTGAAGCCGTGTGTCCCCCTATTGTTTGACTTGGTGACGGCAGCCCCCCTGTGTCCACCTCACCCCCCTTCTCTGTGGTGTGGTCTGTCCCTTCACCTTTAAAGCGGGTTACACCAAGGGGGAGGTTCCCGCCACTTTTAGTGCTGTGACATTAGAGGTGTCTATCCTCAAGGTGTTAATGCGCTAATGCCTAATTATAAGATTATATTAAGGAAATATAAATCCATATGCCGTGTTTCTATTAATCACCTAGGGGTGTTATTCGTTTAATTACGTTCAGACACACGACTGTTATCCATTTAGTAGGAATCTGCATGCCACCTTACTAATGCATAGTGACCCAGTCAAAGGCATCACTACCTGCAAGTGGATGTTCTGCTCTGCTCTAATCTGCTTCCACTAAAAGGAGTCAAAACATGCAAAATCAGTAGTCATGGACAGAGAAAGCTCTGCTCATTCACGAAGTGTTACATTAATATGTAGATTCAGTAAAATAGATCAGAACATGCAGAATAAGCTCTGTGAAATCATAACCTAATGAACTGGAATATACTGTATATTGTTAACTTGCGTTGCAGTATATCAGTACTCTGCCATATTATTATTAGTTTATGGCGTTTACGTAGCGCCAATGTATTCCGACGTGCTTTACAATATTATGATGATAAGCTTGTAACCTGGTTCACTAAAAGGCATCACAACCTGCGCTCTCCATCCACACAGTCTTTGCTCTGTTATACAGGTTCACTGGGAGGAATCACATGTGTATAATAGCAATCTGCTTAGTCATGGGATGCCAAAACTGATGGCTTAATAGAAGGTGTCCCAGTATGCAGATAACATTTAGAAAGTGGGACCACACTGAAAGCCTCGGGTTACAAGGGGGGCCGGTGAAATATGCCATAGGGTTTGAATGAAACCAGAAATAATAATTATTATTATTATTTATATAGCGCCAGCAAATTCCGTAGCACTGTACAATGGAATGGCTATTTTACCAAGATAACGCCTTCTGTTGCTATGTTTTTAAATTGATAATATTGATTCCCCGAAGGGCAGCTGTAATGTTCTGCAATATGCTGCAGGGTTGACACATTGTTTCTCTGCAGGATTCTTTGGAATTCTGCATTCTGTCAGGCAGGACTTCGAATCTCTCCCAGACAGAATGAGGAATTAACGTGCTCCCATGTGAAATCAAATTAACTAATCATGGCCGCTCCTTCGGGATCCCCACTACGAGTAGTTAATTGATTTCACACAGGGAACAATTCCTAGGCCGGCCACTCGCAATTTACTCAAAAATTTCTGAAGACAAGCCTACTGACTGGTCCAGTAAAAGGCATCACTATATGCATGATATTTTTTATTTAATAAGTCACATGAAGCCAACTGCAAGCATATGTGTGTGTTATATTGTTTGTGGAATGTGTTGCATTGATATGTTTTGATTTTTAATAATTTGTTTTATAACGCTTATGAAGATTTTTTTAGCTGGAATATTTATGGAGCACCTGGCTACACAAGTTATAGCAATGATTCTATTTTTTTTTAATGCTTCCTGTCAAAATGTATTAAATCTGTGTTTTTAGGGGCCACAGCCCGCAGCACTGCACGCTAACAGAGGTTTAATGAGGGTTCTCTCCGGCTGTGGAAATGCTGATGTACTGTATACTGATGAATATTGATCTGTGAGCCGCCCATGCTTCTTTCTTCTGATTTTACACATCAGATCTATTCAATTCAGCAAGTGCTGTGAATATTTTATAGAGAGGTGTAATGTGATCCCAGGAGCATAGGGAATGTGGGATATAATAGATTTACTATTGAATGGCTCCGACTCCCAACCTAAATCAATTCTTAGGCCCAAAACGGCTGATAGACATTCCTCATTTTAATGTTTCACACGGCACTGAGAATGCGGCTTTGAGGCCTGTTATGTTCCTAAGAGGCCCTTTTATATAGCGTATTAAATTGCAGTTTACACATGGTAAAAAATAATGCTGTGGTATTTGTATATTTTATTTATATATATATATAAAATCAGAAACCTGTCGTTGAACTACTACTCCCATGTTTCTGAGCCTTCCTGGAGAATTCCCTTCTGATTATAAAAGTGTGTGTCTTAATAGAGGCCACTGGTAGAGGACTGAACTGCAGGGTCTCGTGGGTGTTGGAGGATGGTTAGGATCCTGCTGAGAGAAGGAGGCTACAGAAGGCTCTGCACGCCGTTAGCGATAGAAAAATTTGGCAGGAAAATGGTTGGGGGCGATAAGACTACGCAAGACTGATAATAAAACTCTTTCATTCTGAGGGGGCATGAGGCTGGGGGAATAGGCTACTCAATGCTCTAAAAGGAGAATAAGGTTGGTCAAGGTGCTGCATTGACATAAAGCACAATGCTCTGCAGAGTGGGGGAAACATCACAAGGCTCTGCGGAGAGGGGTCAGCTACATAGTGTTTATCAAAGGTCGGGTTATATCCATGTATTGAGGCTCAGTGCACAGATTGGGACACTGAGCAGCCTCTTAGTTTGCTGTTGTGTTGCTGCTTTTAGACAGTAAGCACACATATTTTGGATGCAGACTAACAGCTACCCTTCCCTGGATTGCCACATGTACCATACTTACTTTCAGAATAATATGGAACAGTAAATAGTTTTAGGTGTAAAGTAGTTCTGAGTAACAAATGGGCGAGAAAACTATGAGAAAAGTTATTACAAACTCTTTAGTCCGTAGCACCTTCATCTGCTTTACTCCGTTCAGTGCAGCCTAGTTTGTTGGAAGTTGTGTTGATACTCATGTAAACATTGATATTCATCCACAAAGCAAGCCTCAATGGAAGATCTTACAAGGTGGCTGATGTCCGCCATATTCCTAGGATCCTTTTCGTCAATGTTTATTAAATTCAGAGTGAATTCATAATGCATCGTGCCAGAAGATCCCTCTTAACGTCAGCCATAACAAATCAATGGTTGTCCCTTTCATGCTATGTTCCTTTGCCTAGAATCAGTATTCCTGGCTATGACAGAGCTCCCATACTCTGACTGAGTACCTCCGCCAGGTCCGGTTTTTATTTGCTTTCAGGCACTCTGGACCACTTCAGCTCCAGTTGCCGAAACTTGAGTGAAATCAGATCAGACTGTTGCTCTCTCCTTCCAGGCAGGCATCGTCCCCTCTGCCTTTACCTCTTCAGCTCTTTTCCCAGGCAGGTATCAGTACCTCTGCCTGCACTGTGACCAGCTACTGCCTTTACAGAGGCAACAGTGGCTCTCAAGCCTAGCTCTTTTTAACTTGTCCCTGGATCCAGGGATCAAGCAGCCAGTCAACAGGTCTAAAGAGTTTGTTACTGGGATCTCTGACTAAACCAATCTGGACACACAGTTGCAAATGGAACTGACACATTCAGATATATTTTTACTCAAGACTAGCCCATAGGCGCATTACATCAAACTTATGGTGACAAATTAAATGTAATACAAATAACCAAATCATATGAGGAAACATACAGGAACTCAGAATAACACAATAACATATTTATAAAGGGGTTTGGAAGACAATAACTATCACGCCGCCTGCCGGGTCTGCTCCTGTCACAGAGCGGCATGGTTCCCGGCGGGCGCGTATTGCTAAGGGGAATGCTGCCAATCTCTTACCTGCCTGGTCGCCGCCCGTGGTCTGAACGCCAGGCACATCGCGGTCTGGCGGCATTCCGACGTGGTTATGGGAATGCCGCCCATCACTCACATGGTGGTGGCTCCTCCTCCTCTCACAGCGGCCAGGTCTGTAAACATTAGAGACGCCGGCCGCTGCAGCTCTGAAGGGTTTTTCTATTTAATCCTTAAAGTGCCAGATCAATTTTATCATGTCAGTGTATCACACACACACCCATGATCACATGCTTCCCTGTAGCCAATCAGGGGCACCCTAGACTATAAAAGCCTGCTTTGTCCATTTCTCTGTGCCCTGTCGTGGTTTCCATTGTGGTTATCCGAGAGCGCGTTCCTTGTATTTATTCTTGTGTATTTGACCTTGGCTTCCCTTCCGACTATCTGATCTCTGTATTCCTTGAACCTTGGCTTGGCTCCTGACTATTCTGTGTTCTCCATTCTTTGACTTGTGGCTTGTTCATCGTTTCCGCTATTTCTACTACTTGTCCTTGTCCTGTCTTGTGGTTTGCTTCGCTGATCACAGGCTATATTGGCTACATTGATCCTCTACATGAGTGGACGTTGAAGCATTCTCCATTGGACACTCATCCAGATCCAATTTGAGACAGTCGAGCAATGTGTTTACGCTTTAGGAACTGATCTCTTGGTTACACAATCCTCACGTCATGGGCAAATAATATTGTAACGGAGCGTTTTGCTTATCAGAGGTTAAAAACCGTTTAAGCGATATTCCCCTTTTTCAGATGTACAGACAGCCACTGCAAGTACCAATCTCCCGAACTGCAAACCCACAAATTCACCAACTCCCGAACTGCAACCAAGGGAATACTCGAAACATCCGAACTGCATACCAAGTAGCACTCCAAACTCCCGAACTGGAGACACACGAATTGCTGTTAGCAGACGAATAGGAAAAGCCCCCAAGCGGCTTACACTCCTGGCAATCAGTCTCTAACAGCATACAGTAAAACCCCTCAAAGACGAGACGACACTTCGTTTTGAGGGTCAAGCAGAATCTGACTGTACTGGCACATACAGCCTCTTTTATTCCCAATCCACAAACATAGTACTGCCCACAGGGTTTTACAGAACAACCAATCAATCCGTACAATACACACAGACACTCCCACACAAAATCCTCCCCTCTGCCTGTGATATGATTACTGAACACAATGGGTGATATAATTATCACAGGCAGAGGAATACAGTTTTTCCACATTATTCATAACTTTGAAAGTATGCATCACATTCAAATAAAACTTACTGAATCAGCATACTCCAAATACAAACATATGTCAAAATTATCCAAATTAGTCCATTGGTTCAAAAGATGGATCGGAGTCCTTTGTGACCAAATGAAGCATGGCTTTTCTGCCCAAAACCAGTTCCACAGAGTCTTCTATCCTGGAGATAATTGAGAAGTAATCCAATTATCTCCAAGGACAGAGGCAAAACTCCATTAAGCACATGGCAGTAAAAAGACAGTAAAATACAACAAAATACACAAGGTTACCTTTATTACATAAAATACAGACATGCAACATATCCCCAGATAGCTTAGATCTGAGCGCACATTATTACCGGATGGCGCTCAGATCACATACATACAGTTCAATCGCCATGGAGCCAAAGTCTTTCATACAGTCTTTCAGTATACGGCTGGGCTCCATGGCATAGCTATCTGGGGTAGCATGGCTTTAACAGTCCGCAGAAAGGCACAAACCAGCCTTTCTGCAGGGTAAAAGAACAGGGGCCATAGTCTAAAGGGAGCAGGCGAGCAACCAGGCTTCTCCAGTGGACAGTGGCAAGGCTTTTTTCGCCACAAATATACTGTTCAGTTCAGCCGGCACTTTGCATATGGAGCCTTATTACAGCTTCCAATCAGGAAACATGCTGAATCTCTGTGAATGCGCATTACTCAGAGGCAAACCTATATACATTGTTTTAACACTCCAAGTACCTATTTCTAACAGTGTTACATTTCTCAATGTCTTATATAGCTCTGTTTCAATATTCTCGCTTCACCTTTTTTGGATCATTTTATAAACATACATATATGCAGCTATATACTTGCATGCCCTGCTCTGCTGTTTTCTTGTGTTTTTTTTTTTAAACTAGTTTGTTGACTCTCCTCTGTTTATTTACTTTTTCTGGTTATTCTCAGCCAACCTGCACCTTTCACTTGCAGGCACATCTTCAGCTGTTTATGACACCCAACTCACCCCCCTCCCCTTCTCTAACATCAGTTGTTTTCAGTGTTAAACTCTATCCCATAGATCAGTATTGCTTTAGATCTAAGAGAGGACAACTCTTGAAAGCTTGTCTTTGAAATATTATGTTAGTCCAATAAAAAAAGATATCATTGTATATTGCAATACTCTGGTATTTTGGTACCTTAACAGTCTTACAGTTATATGTTTCCATAAAGTCACCAAAAGTTAGAGTAGTGCGGGCAATAACTAACTGGCTCTGCAGATTCCTTGATGCTTCAACAGCATTTAGAGCAGCTACCTGCTGTCAATTAACAATTAAAAAGCAGTTTTGGGGTCTTGTAAGACAACTACCTAAATAATACTGATCAACAGATTCTAAGCAAAAAGTATGATAAATGGCTTAAGAAAATATCCATAAACCCATCTGTAGAATTAAATGGAGATACCTTACACATTTAAAGGGACACTATAGACACCAGAACACTACAGCTTATTGTATTTGTTCTGGTGAGTATAGTCAGTCCCTGTAGGCGTTTTGCAGTAAACACTGTCTTTTCAGAGAAAATGCATGGCTTACATTACAGCCTAGTAATAACTCCACTGGACTTTCCTCAGATGATTGCTAGAGGTGCTTTCTGGGGAAGTGCTGCACATTGTGACTGACATTCAGTGTCTCCGCCCTCGGCATGCAGACACTGAACTTTCCTCATAGAGATGTACTGATTCCATTAATCTCTATGAGGAGATGCTCATTGGCCAGGGCTGTGTTTGGCTTGTGCTAGTTCTGCCCCTGATCTCCCTCCTTGACAGTCAAAGCCAATCCTTAGGGGAAAGCATTGTGATTGGCTCAGACCACCACTTCTGATGATGTCAGCAGACACAGGCAGGTCAGAGCAGACAGGGGTAGAGCCAGCAGCTACAGACGTTGCTGCAGAGGGATTTAGATAGACTGGGGGACTCAAATGGCAGATGAAATTTAATGTTGAAAAATGCAAAGTTATGCACTTTGGCATAAAGAATACATAATCAACGTATACCCTTAATGGAAGCGAATTAGGGATAACAACACACGAAAAGGACTTAAGAATTGTTATAGACAACAAACTATGCAACGATGTGCAATGTCAATCAGCAGTGGCCAAGGCCAGTAAGGGCATTGATTCTCGGGACGAGAATATCATTTTGCCTCTTTATAAATCACTGGTAAGACCACATATTGAATAAGCTGTGCAATTTTGGGCACCTGTTCTAAAGAAGGATATTATGGCACTAGAAAAAGTGCAGAGGCGGGCTACAAAATTAATAAGAGGAATGGAACATATCAGCTATGAAGAAAGATTATCAAATTTAAAACTATTTAGTTTAGAAAAACGTCGCCTGAGAGGGGATATGATAACATTATACAAATATATTCGGGGCCAATACAAACCATTGTGTGGAAATCTATTCACAAACCGGACTTTACATAGGACACGAGGCCATGCGTTTAGACTGGAAGAAAGAAGATTTCATCTAAGGCAAAGGAAAGGTTTTTTTACTCTAAGAACAATCAGGATGTGGAATTATCTGCCTGAAGAAGTGGTTTTATCAGATGTTCAAACAGCTAGTAGATGCATACTTGCAAAAATAGAATATTCAAGGAAATAATCTTTCAATGTAGGGTAATAACTGCTTGATCCAAGGATAAATCTGACTGCCATTCTGGAGTCAAGAAGGAATTCTTTTCCTAGCTTGTTGCAAAATTGTACTTCAAACTGGTTTTTTTTTGCCTTCTTTTGGATCAACAGCAAAAACAAATGTGAGGAAGGCTGAACTTGATGGACGTAAGTCTCTTTTCAGCTATGTAACTATGTAACTTGAATACAAGTAAGATTTTACTATATTTAGTGAGGGCTAAATGGCGATTTTAACACTATAGGGTTTAGGAATACATATTTGTGTTCTTGACCCTATAGTGTTCATTTAACACACCCTACTTTCATATAAACATAGCTTTGAAATTAATCCAGACACATGGTCACAGTAATGAGAATCACAAGACTATACAAAATAAATTATATTTTTTAGATCTGTAAAAGATACCCCAATTTATTTTTTGATGTTACAGCTTGATGCCCCTAAGAGCCTTTGTTTGAAATCTGATGGTGTTTAAATAAAGTATCAACCAGCAGCCTTGAAAAACAGAGGTTAAACCAATACTTCATGGGCCACACACTACGATTGAGTGTGACTCTGAATTACTTGGACCAGAGACAAGTTCCTTACGGAACCATAAACCATTTATAATCCTGCCAGAAAACCGCCTGAATGGATTGATATGGTCACTGTTGGCTTTCACATTGTAAATATTTGGAATTGAGATAAACAAGGCAATATACTTACATTGACTCCATATTTAGTGCTTCTTGTGGTGGGCTGCAAATCTTCAAAATAAATATAAAAAAATAAGCCCTGCTCTCAAATTCCCACTACTCCTGGGTGACAGCAATGACTATAGTACACATTAGCCCCAATACATTAAAAAAAAAACAAAGGTTGGTTTACATATTAAGAATGGACAGCAGATATCTGGTTGATTATGCCTTCTTCTTTGAGACTGAATTTATATTTGGAGCTCGCCAAATCACCTGCAGATATATAACATACTTGCCAACTGTCCTGAAATTGGCGAGGCAGTCCTAATTTTGAGCTCATTTCCCTCCTCATTGGCTAAAAGCTGGCACAAGTTTTTCCAAGACATATATTGTTGCAACTTCACTTTGGATGCCTAGATAGATTTTGTGTGCCGAGATGATACACTTTTGCCACCATCAACAGTGATACAAATTTCTTCACTGGTATGTCCCCATCTGCTTTCTCCATTTCCATTGCAGATCTAACCAATGAAGTATGAGATTGTTAAAGGATCACTATAGGGTCAGGAACACAAATATATGTATTCCTGACCCTATAGTGTTAAACCCACCATCTAGCCTCCGTGGGCCCCTCATGCCTCCATAAATATAGTAAAAATCTTACTGTATTAAAGCCTAAAGCTGTAACTCTGCATGCTGTTAGACTCAGAAAAACAAGCAGTGTGCTGACATAATCAGAAGTGGTAGCCTGATCCAATCACAATGCTTCCCTATAGGATTGGCTGAGACTGACAAGGCACAGATCAAGGGCAGAGCCAGCATGATTCAAACACAGCCCTGGCCAATCAGCATCTCCTCATAGAGATGAATTGAATTAATGAATCTCTATGAGGAAAGTTCAGTGTCTGCATGCAGAGGGAGGAGATACTGAATGTTTGGATGCATTTTAGGCAGCCATGACCCAGGAAGGATCTCTAACAGCTATCTGAGGAGTGGCAAGTGAAGTTATCACTAGGCTGTAATGTAAACACTGCATTTTCTCTGAAAAGACAGTGTTTACAGCAAAAAGCCTGAAGGTAATGATTGTACTCACCAGAACAAATTCAATAAGCTGTAGTTGTTCTGGTGACTATAGTGTCCCTTTAATTATGATTATTATTAAACTTGTTTGTTAATTTCTGTCTGGTAATTTTCATATGCTGCTTGCAGAATACTATTTTTTTCATGCCAATCTTGTATGTATGATAAGCGTGTCCTTTTTATAAAAACACAAATATAATTATTTTTAACCATAATAGTTTTTGGGGCAGATAAGTTCATTCATGTTTATTTTTTTGACGTTTTTCAGTAGAAATCTGACAACTGTACCACAAATCTCAGAAACCTCTCCTGTGTATGAAATAATAAGAAAAAAAATACTACCGAGCATTACTTCTAGTGAAATGTGTCCTCTGTTTCTTCTCGCCTGTGACGACCTCTACGAGCTGTCATTGTTATTGCCAACAGCTGATAGCAAGCTGAACCCATGAGTTACAGAACTTATATGGGCTTCCCTATGGCCCCCAGGACAACAGCTGGAGGGGAGGGGGGTTCTTCCATTCTGACGCTGTTTGTCCGGAAATTATTTACCATCTATTTTATTTGACATTTACATGCATTCCACAATCCGCTTGTTGCTAAGCAATGTATTGCTTTCTTCTCTGGCCCTGATAAGCTTAGTGCGGTATGTTCATAGCGTTAAGTATTAAATGCTAAGTAAGAGACGTTTGCCATTTTAGACAGTGTATGAAAAGTAATTTTATTTTAGCAGTTATTCTAGCCGCCTGACCAATACCGGTTTTTGGATTGTAATGTTATTGTGCAATTCAGTTTGTTTCAAAGCATTCTATTCTGATGGCGGATTGAGGCACGGCATTGCTAAAATGACTTCCTAGGTTTTCCCCAAAGTCATAAAATAAATGAAATCTAATTTACAATGAAACTGCATATTTTGGTAAATTCAGAAGTGATATTTAAAAGCAAGCTGCCCGAGATCCCTCCATTGCCCCCCACCTTGTAAAACTTTATCTTTTTTTTTTTTTTTTTATAATTCTTTATTTTTGGTGCATGTTATATGGTACAAGACATTCGTGCATGCCACTTCCATGTGGTCAAATTTCGACTATTATACAGCTAACGGATAAACATCTGGCATAGCATTCAGTGAATTTGCACATTTTTGTTATGAAGTTGGTCTGTGAGGTTGTAACGGGGTGACCTATATATACAGAGTTTTCCTCCATGTCATGTTTGGCGGTCTGGCCCTTGTTGTCTGTGTTGCCTATGCTGTATGTCCCACTTGTTCTGTCTCGTGTGTGACTTGGGAGAGTCGTCTATGATCTATTAGAACATGTTGTGGTATCGTTTGTGAGGGCGCAAAGGTCGAGTGGGGGCTTAATTTGGTAGCCCGGGGCCATGTTGCTTACTGGTGTTCACGTTACTTTCGTGTGTGGTAGGTCATGGAGGTGATGCTCCTTGTGGTATCTTACGTGCCATCTATGGCAATCGCCTGTCTGAGGAGCAGTTAGTGGGCCGTGTGGCGTTGGCTATGGTAGTGTGGGGCTGTCGGTTAAAGCTTTATCCTTTTATATACCAGTTGATACAAATGTATGTAGTCATGTTTGGTTATATTATAATGAGTTGTTACCAGTGCTGTGGAGTCGGTAGATATATGTTCCGACTCCGACTCCTCAGCTTTTTGTACTTCCGACTCCGACTTTCCGACTCCTCTGTATTAATATGCAAATGTATTTTATACATTCCTTGAAGGAAAGAAAGGCAACATACATGTCATTACCACAGGACTACTGGTTGGGAAGCTAACAGTCTACTGTATTGAACAGTTTAAGCAAAAGACAAACACAATGAAAACAACAAAGTTTTATAAAAATGTTTTTATTAATCAATCAAGTGGCTGGATAGTAGCAGCAGGCATAAACATCAGGAACAGGAACTTTACCAGTTCAAAAATACAAACCACGTTATTTGGTTGTTTTAGAACAAAAACAAAGCTTATCTATATGAACCAAAAACAAAATCTGTAAAACCTAGAAATGGTTTATATTAATCTTGAAATGTAGTTATAGGCTTAGCAAATGCAAATCAATTCAATGTAGAGTTCTAAGGAAGAGAATTGCCTCTGCCAAGATCCTCTTTCATAGAGGCTTTTAAGTCAGACTTTATTATTTTTATGGCTGAAAATAATCTTTCGACACTGACTTGGGTGGGTGGCATTGCAGTAACTATTCTGGCTACATCACTAACGATCTCTGGATAAACAAGGATGGCTTCTTCAACAGTAAGTTTTGATGAGCGATCATACTTTTCAACTTCTTTTAGTGCTTCATAAAACTCCTGTTGGAATTTTTTTATTTGGACATTTACTGGTTCTGTAACGCTTATGCGACTTCGCTTTCTTTTAGAACCTTCCATTTTGTCTAAGAAGGAATCAAAATCTAATTCTTCGTTTGAAGAAGATGATCCTGATTTACCACTATTGCTTAAAAGAACTTCATCCAGTGGAGGTATTTCAGGTCGTAATCCCTTCATGCGAACTGCTACATCATAGAGGGCCTTTTTCCCAGTAGCAGTCTGTTCACTGTTCAACAAAAGTCGGCTCATTGGGTCGACATAAATAGCCGCTAACAAGATTTCATTTTCCAGCAAAAGACTCTCTCTTTTCATCATTGAAGATGCAATGCCCTCAGCTAATAACCCCCCATTTTTGTTCAGGCGATATAACAGGCTCTTCCATTCCAAGAGGAATTTACCCGGGGTTAGATTGTCACATTGCAAACTCTTGGTGACAGTGAAGGGGTGAGAAAGAAGGTTCGCCAGCTCTTTTGTTTGTGTCCACTGGCTTTCAGTTAATGCAAGATTTTCATTGTCCATTTCTTCTATGAAGTCTTTAAGTTCAAGCTAACGCTTCACCATTAAATAAGTGCTTCCCCAGCGAGTTGTTTGATCCAAAATGGCTCCTTTTCCTGTACGTCTTTTCAAAATTGCATCTGTTTTCGGGGCCCTGGCTGCAACAGTTACTTGCCGTAATTTGCCAATTAGTGTAGCTGCATGGCGATCTTTTAATCCATCTCTTATGGCAAGTTGCAGTGCATGCTTCTTCACGGTCACTTAACGTGTTTCTTTTGCGGTTACGTGAGGCACTGCATGCATTGGTCTTTATTCTTACAGTAGAGAAGTCATTAATTATAACTTTTTGTGAATTGGGACATTTAAACTTGCTTTTTTTAATTCCAATCTAAATTTAGTATGAGTAGGAGTCGGAGTCGCCAAACAATGCACCGACTCCGACTCCAGGTACCCAAAATTTCCTCCGACTCCTCGACTCCGACTCCACAGCCCTGGTTGTTACAGAGTTGCTTTCAGTGCATTAATCCCTACATCTCATTCTAGTAGTCTTGTGACTTTCTTAAAATTCACTTTGTCTTCAACACCGTTATGGTACACATAAGGTCTTATTCACTTTGTTGAATACTTTATTCTTTTTGACAGCCGTTGTTTGTCAGAGTTGACCACAATTCCACCAAATAAGAAAAGCCTTTCTTCCCAGCTTGTTAGGCTGCAGTTGCAAGTTGAAATATCTCCAAAGTTCCTTCTTCTATTAACTTTTAGAACACGGCACCTTCATTTGTCCGGCAAGGTCTTCTTACAGGACAAGCCTTTTACACTTTGCCTTTTACATGTGTGAACTTAACATACCTGCCAACTGATGTAATATAGTTGTTTCTCAGGCTTTAGAGGAATCTGACTTCTCGACAAAATCTTCTTGTTCGGTAAGGCAATATGCATTATCATTCCACTGCTAAACCAGCATTTCCAGGCTGGTGGAACTTCTGTGTATAGTTTTGATCAGTTTATACTTCTTTGCCTTTTGCTGCAGGTACAATGTAAATTTAGGGGGGAGAGGGGGCGCAAGGTACTACAAGCACCATACATCATTACAGCTTGAAGTGTTCCTTTAATGTAATTAACCTCTATTCAGGACAGCACTGCTAGTGAGAGCCCCAGGTTTGCTCAAAAATGGTTTGACAAAATATCATGGAGTGACATAAAATAATTAATATAATGGGACGAGGCCTAACCGCTGAAGCGAGAAGACGCTAATCTGTGCAGCTCCTGCTTTATAACGCAATTTAAACGGTTTCCAGCCATAAAAAAGGGACCTAATCGTCTCAAAAAGGCCACCAGGCAAAAGGTGACAGGGAGAGGCACAGGATGGCGCCACACAAGCAACCTTTACAGTGCAACTCCTCCTGCAGGGCCTACACGCGAGATCGGCGTGAGGGAGACGGCCGCTCCCACGCTGACATACACAGCGGACAGATCGAAACGAGGCCCACATTCCCCCCCTCCCTCTGGACCGGTGGGGGTCATCACGGTTCAACATCAGGAGACCTGGCACAACCTGGCAAAAGTGGTACGGCGACCACGGGACCTGATCCAAGCAACAGTACTGCGTACAAAATGGCGGAGACAATGTGCTCAACCAGCACTCAAGGTGAACAGACGGTGGCAGAGAATCTACTGGACAAAGCTTTTCAAGCCTTCTGGGAGAAGATGGTAGCTCTTCTGTCCCCAAAACCCCCAGAGAAAGGGCCTGACACCCTGCCGCGCAATCTCACAAGCATACCCAAACGGAAGACCACGCAGAAACCTCTAACATCGGACCGCACGGAAAAACTGAGCCAGCGGGAACCCACCAAGAGGCAGGAGACCAGAGATCCATCAGGCAGCAAAAGGAGCAAGAGGGCAGCTCCCTGGAACCCAAAAGTATCCATACCGAGACGCATTAGCCTACTCACCCGTCACCCTGGATCCCCCAGATACCGGCTGAAGACACGCAATGCTACAGCGAGATCCCCCTGCTACAGATCAAACCGCAAAGGGAGACTGCGACCAAGCAGACGGCACCTGTGGCAGCGCCCCACGAGCTCCGAACCAAACACCACTCTGACCCAGCCCATGCCTGCCTGTCAGCAACAACAATGGCGGAAACACACCAGGACACAGACTCTCATCGAGGTACCAGGGGGAAACCCAAGTATACAGAGAGGCCCACCCTACCAAGCCCCTGTAGGCTGGGAAAGCCGGCAGGATTCCCCCTGGGTACGGGACTATGCTTACACCCTGGACGGCATAGGTTAAGCAGGGCCTGAGGGACTCAAAGGCCATACCCTAACCCTATGAGGAGATTTGGGATACGGCATACTGGCGGAACACAAAAGAGATGATTATTAGACTTTCTTATGCCTCCAGCGCATATAGACCGCCCCTCACTTTAACATTACCCAGCCTCTACAAACATGTACCAAGGGTTAGGACACCATAATACACCACGTATATTTAGGCTGTGTCACTTACGTATGCCAGTCTGCCCGCGGCGGACCAACACCGCCTACCACTACTAAACACTTGTCACCGACCTCCCGGACAAATCTCTTTCATAAGCTTACAAGCTAATGTTTTACTTTATGTTTGACTATCACCACTTAAAAAATGTGTAGTAATTACAAATGCCATACTGACGTTATACATGTTACAGATACGCTTGTCCTAGCTGTAGCGGTCTCATAAATATACAAGCTGAATTTTTTTCCTTTATGTTTGACTATCACCACTTAAAATTGTGTAGTAATTACAAATGCCATACTGACGTTATACATGTTACAGATGCGCTTGGCTTAGCTGTTGTGGCTATCCAAGCAGTTTGTAAAGCTCGCACAACAAAAATAAAGAATTACAAAAATAAAATTAAAAAAAAATATTAATATAATAAATAAAAATATGTAAATAAACAAGTCCGGATTTTTGTGTGTCAAAGCATTTATAATCCAGCTGCAATCAATGTCATGGTTTAATGGTGAAATACAAACCAATAATCTCATCTGAGCACAAACCATGAATCCTGAAACGTATTTCATAAAATGTGGAACTCTTTCTTACTTTATCTACTTGATCCTGTTTAGTACTGTTGCTTCTCTTTTGGTTTGATTTATGTGCCTGGTCTATCCAGAAAGTATCCAGCCATTTAATATGAAAACTAGAGACATTTAGTGAAGATGCTAGAAACATTATACTTAGGACAATGACGCTTCAGTCCCCTTCAAAGTAGGCACCTTGGGACCTCACTGTCACGGTAGTTTACCCCTACACGCAGGATTTAGTTCAACAATCGACAGATAGAGCAGATACGACTTACCGGACCTTAGAATGGCCGGACTCACCATATAGCAGAGAATAGACAGAGTCAAGAACAAGCCGAGGTCAAGGGAACAAAGAGACAGCAAGAACAAAAACTAGCCAAGGTCTGGTACACAGTAGTCAGTAAGCCGGCAAACAAGACAAAACTGGGATAGAGAGATAAACAGAGTCAGATACAAAGCCAAGGTCAAGCACGAAAATCACAACTGAACACAACAAGCGCTAAAGGGAACTGAAACAGAAACCACGATAGGGCAGGGAGTTAAGGGAGAGGTAAGTATAAATACCCTAAACTTTACTTTGATTGGCCCCTGTCATATCCAATCCCCCAAAATGTGAGTGTCTGGGGAACGTGGGATGACAGGGGCCAATGGGAGCACATTTCATTTTTTGGCTCCCACTGCCCCTTTAAGAGCGTGCCCGAGACGCGCGGCACGCTCTTAGAGCTAGGCGGAACACATGACACCCGGGTCAGGTAAGTACCGCTACACTCACACAGTTTTTCCACTTTTCAAAACACTCTGCAAAATCCTTTTGTTGGAATCACCATCAGCTTCTAGTTCTCACACTGTCAGTGACCGATCTTTGTTAATTGCAGCCCGTAAATGTTCAACATTCTCAGGTGTTCTGCTTGTTGTAAGGCCTTCCAGAACATGGATCACTTTCGACAGATTCTCGACCATCTTTGAAGCATTTGTACCACTCTTGTATTTGCGCGGCACTCATTGCATCATGGGCAAAAGCCTTCTGAATCATCCAAATAGTTTCTATAAAGCAATGTTCATGCTTAACGCAAAATTTCATGCAGATTCATTGTCCTATTGACTCAGTCATTTTGAATGCGACAACCACATGGTACACATGCTCACTCATCGGCGTATAGCGCCTCCTGTAACTATTACAGTGAAGTCAACATTGTTCATACCATTCCACTTTCCTCTGGATTTTGGAATTTGGATCTCAATAAGATATTATTTACACTGGTATGAACAGCGCCTGGACCTGGTATACTCAGATGTGGGCTGTAGGCAGGTGGGAGGAATGTTACATACCCGAGCTGAGAGAGAAAACATTTATTACAGCATTTCTATATCTTTTGTTTTATATATAGGAAGTAAAATTGTTTCAGAATTTCAAGGTGGCTAATGTTTCCCTTGATGAGGCAGTTGGAGTTTGCTTGTATATGCTCATGTTGCTTGGGCATCACGGCGTTAGCCTTTAGTGATATAACTTTTAAAGGCGGTAGAGTGTTCGCATTTTATTTCTTTATGTATCACATGGTATTTTGCTCAGTGTCCGAAGAGTGTGAGTAATATAAGGAAAAATGGTGGGACTACAAGAAAATGCATTGCATTATAAAGATAGGGCATTATATAAAAACATGATGGAAGTGTGTGTGACGGTAGTCCTAGATGTGGTGGTATTGTATACATATGTGATTATACGTTACAAACCTTGTGGAATTATAAGGCTGTATGGTGGTGAGCAAATGTGCTGATTATAAAGAAACTTTGTGGCATTAAAAGGAAGTGTGCTGATTACATGAAGCTTGGTGGTATTATATCAAGGAAATGGCATTATAAGAAAGCGTTGTACTATTATCCTGCTTGATGCATATTTAACTTCCTGTAATTTTTATTTATAATTAGATGATGAAGATATTTCTCCAACTCCTTCTCCACCCGAAATTGTCACCAAGAAAAAACGAGGACCTAAGAAGAAAGACAAAGATAAACCCAGACCACCAAGGGCCATTAAACCACGCAAGCGCAAGAAGGCTGTAAGTGCTTTTATATAGAGTCACTGTCTCCTGATGGGTACGGCAAATACCTCTACTCCAAAATACACCCTACACGCAGACACTACCTATTGCTCAATACCATACACTACCTCGTAATAAGACACCCCAGTATTCTATACTGGCACTTCCCACCACCCCAAGACATATCTCTATACTAAGACACAACATCCTTGTATACTAACATGCGTAACTTGTCTATTTCAAGACATTACCATATACTGACATACCTCATCCATGTCTGCCTTTCTGATGTGCTAATATACCCCACTAATTTATACCGTGATACTTCAACACAACCTGCTAAAACAACCCACCACAATCGATACAGATGAGCATCACATCTTTATATGTCTGTGTACTGATACATTCTGTTGTGAGGCACATCAAGCATTATATCCTTATTAGAGTACTGCTTCAACCCACTGAACCCTGTTTATCTTAAAGGGACACTATAATCACCCAGACCACTTCAGCTCAATGAAGATGCCCTTAAGGTACTATAGTGTCAGAAAAACAGGTTTGTTTTTCTGACACTATAGTGATTCTTTAACACCTTTTAGGAAGAGTCATCATAACCATCAGTAAAAAGGGCAATTTGCCTCCATTCTCTAGGAAATTAAATCAACAATTAGATAAAAATGCCTTTAAATACATTTTATATATTAAAAAGATAGCATATTTTTCAAGTTCCTACTTTTGCTGCAGATTACCAAGGTTTGCAGCTTCTGTGATGAACATTTATCAAACCTTTCCATGGATCATACTTTATATAGACAAAGAAAGAAAAAAAGAAGCTAAAGAGCCTTAACTGACTGGTACCTCCGTGTGGGGGATAACCTCTGTTATCAGTGGAATAGAAAGAAGAAGAGTTAGAGGTAGCAGTTCTAAGTAAATAAAAAAAACAGGGGATCTCTTAGATGGTATGCTGGATCCCAAAAATACAAGAAATAAAAAATAAAACGTCACTTTTAATCGAGTAGCTAAAAGCCCCTTACTTCAAGAGGCAATAAAAAAATACATGCTTAGCACAGAAACACTAAATAACGAAAATGAAGAAAATAAGAAATAAATATCGTAATATCGTAAAATCAAAGTAGTGTTGATTGTAATTCCCAATAATCGTCTAGTGACAGGATTTATCCATAACGACTGCAGTTAAATACTGATAAATATTTCTGGAATACAATTCTAAGTTAATGCTTATCAATGTAGCTGACGTGGACAAAAATAAGCCACTGAGAGCTGGGCTATAATATGATAGCAACTAGTAAACTACGCTTAGTCTGAATATGTGTAAAATACACCTAGTTCCAAGCAAGGAGATCCTTTTAGCGAGGAACCCTATTCAACAATTTCTGACTCTGCTAGCGGTCTGCTACAATTACAGCAGAATGAGGTTTCGGCAAACTAGCCTGAAACAATGACAGTTTTAACCCCTTCAGGACGGAGTCAATAGTACACGTTCTGATCAAAACAAAACGTAAAGAAAAACTGGAATTTGCGCTGTATGTCTGTTCAACCGTAATTCACCGCTGTCACATTAAGTGCACCCACACTTATAATATATCATTTTGTTCAGGAGAAACAGGGATTTAATTTATCATTAACTATTCATATGTGGAACATAATTTATTATGAATAAAATGTAAAAGATTTTAGAAAATAAGATTTTTTTTTTAAATTTGTATTTCCATCTGACATTTTAGCTGTTAATGTCATAATACTGTTAGGTATTACTGCAAAAAAATGCACATATTTGTTATCAGCGATGTCTCACGAGTACAACAGTACCCCCCATTAACAGGTTTTATGGTCTTTTGGAAAGTTACAGGGTCAAATATAGAACGTTCCATTTTCAAATTGAAATTTGCCAGATTAGTAATGTTACCTTTGAGACGGTGTGGTAGCCCAGGAATGAGAATTACCCCCATAATGGCATACTATTTGAAAAAGTAGACAACCCAAGGTATTGAACGTGGGGTATGTTTAGTCTTTTTTAGTAGCCACTTAGTCACAAACACTGGCCAAAGTTAGCATTCATATTTGTTTTTGTGTGAAAAAGCAAAAAACTAATATTTGGCCAGTGTTTGTGACTAAGTGGCTACTAAAATGACTGGACATACCCCATTTGCAATACCTTGGGTTGTCTACTTTTGCAAATGGTATGCCATACGGTCTCAAAGGCAACATAACCAATCTGGCAAATTTCAATGTCAAAAAAATGAAATGCAAGCCTTATATGTGACTCTCTAATTTTCCAAAACCAATAAAACCTGTACATGGGGGGTATTGTTATTCTCGGGAGACTTCACTAAACACAAATATTAGTGTTTTAAAACAGTAAAACATATTACAACAATAATATAGTCCATAAAAGTGCTGTTTGCTTGTAAAAAAATTCAAAAAACGTCACTTTTACTTAAAATATCATCGTAAATACAATTTATCAGTTTGAAGTTCAGCTAAGTCTCCCGAGTAAAACAGTACCCCCCATGTACAGGTTTTATGGTGTCTTGGAGAGTTACAGGGTCAAATATAGTGCTTGCGAATTAAATTCTCTGCACTTTCTCCCTGTGTTGTCAGGCATGTCAATCAAATTTTAATTAATCAAATCACATAATTATGTTAAAAGATTACTTAAATATACACGTAGAATTTTAATATATATGCATTTATAGGTATTTAAATTCTACGTGTATACTAATGTAATCTTTTATGTAATTATATGTATTTATCTATATATATATTTGCGGTTATTTGTATTTTATATATAGATAGATATATATAGAATGTCAATCTAAGTGTATTTTGTTAACAATATATATATATTAATAACAAAATACAGTTAGAATGAAATTACATATGAATATATAATTTTAATAAAATTTTGTTTCAATATTTTATTTATTTATTTTATTATTTTATTTATTTATTAATGTAATTATACGTGTATATATATATATATATATATATATATATATAATATATGTGTATATATCTATTATATATATATATAATATATATACATATTATATATGTAACGTCATTCTAAGTGTATTTTAATAGTAATATATATTAAAATACACAACGTATGACGTTATATATATATATATAATATGTATATATATTATATATATACATATATAAATATATTGAATTTATTTTACACATGTTTATTTTTAATTTTATTTCATTTCCCACCAGCAGGGGGACTGTCTGCTATTTCAGACAGCAACCCTGCTGGCAGATCCACAGCTAGCTATAGGGGGCCATGTGATCGCTCTTTGAGAGAGATCACATGGCCCCCGGGAGCCTCACTTGCCGGAGGAGGGCTGCCTGGGTGGTCAGGCAGCCCTCCAGAAGAGGATCGCAGCGGAGGTAAGTAGCTGCGATCCCCTGGGGGCTTAAGCCGTTACGGCGTTCTATGCCGCCGCAACGGCTTTAAAGCCGCGACGGCATAGAACGCTGTAACGGTGTTATGGGGTTAATATCCCCATGGACTACCGGATTGTTTCCTGGCAATAATGGTCATGGTATTGGTGCACCAGCTTATCATTGTTATTCCCTTAGGACAGTCTGACACATCTTCCCTTCAGAATAATTATGTAGCAGGTACAACTGATAGATTTGAAATAAAAATATCCAAATAATTGCAACAAAATGCCACTTTGGAATGCAACAGTGGCTAGCTGCTGAAAATCTATATATTGGTTTCACAAGTGTACGATTTCAGGTTAAAGTGTAGATGGTGTCCGACTGTAACACTGTCTGGCTTAACGGGAGTTAGTCTCTCGTGTATATACTGGAGAGCATAACTGGTTATGCAAACAGAATATAAAGGGGCAGAAAAATAAATTGATGATTGTAATTTATAAATCGAGGGCACCCCTTATATAAGCATTTGCCCTGCCTAATAGACAAACTTGGATCAGCAAATAATAATCCACTTATTGTTTTTAGAGATAGCCGAGAATATTGCAGTTGCATTCATAACATAAGCTTATAGCAGTTCCATCGTGGTGTCACCTGTCACTGGCTCATTGCTGCTAGCGCTAGACACAAGTCATTTGGCTATTGCTTCTTGTGTCAGACACTTGTAATGGAATCTTTGGTGTTTGCATCCTTGGCATGAGAAACATATCTTTCCTTCTTCGTATATACTTTTCCTCAGGACAGTGATGATGAGATTCGCTGGGAGGAATGTCTTAGAGACCAGGGCTCTCATGACAGTGACCAAGAACTCGGAGGTAAAAAGAGAAAGAAAAAACACAAAGAAAAAAAAGAGAAGAAAACCAAGAAAAGGAAAAAGGATGAAGAGACAGTAGAAGTGCGCAAGGTTGGTTCCTGACATCCTTCTAATTACTCGGAAAACAGGCTAGGCAGAAAAGGAAAATGAGAACGTAGTTTTGTGAAAGAGAAGGCAGAGGGTTCCATGGTGTTAGATCACAGATTAATGGGATTGACCATCTTGGTTTAATCTCGCAGGTGGAGCAGAAGTCCTCAGCAATGATGCTGTCTAGCTGGGGTTTAGAAGATGTAGATCACGTCTTCACAGACGAAGATTACCACACGCTCACAAACTACAAGGCGTTCAGCCAGTTTATGAGGTGAGTTTTTAACCCACGTGCCCTCTCTGTTGTACGTTGCACAGTGTGGGACTGTAAAGCCACCTTTGTCTTGAGTCTTTTCTTCACTGTTCATGTGATGACCTTCTATCTGTGTCTCCAGAATCTCATGGACAGGAGGAACTGATTCAGTGGCCCTTTGGGTCTCCAAGACAAACAGGCTCCATCGGCCTTCGATCTGTGTCTCTTTGAAGGGTAAAGACAAGTTAGCGTTCAATGATAACATGTTCAGTCTTTCCTCTAGGCCTCTTATTGCAAAGAAGAATCCTAAAATCCCTATGTCCAAGATGATGACGATTCTTGGCGCCAAGTGGAGGGAATTCAGTGTTAATAATCCTTTCAAATCCTCACCGGCAGCAGTGGCCGCAGTGGCGGCAGCAGCTGCAGCAGCGGTGGCTGAACAAGTGACCCTTCCTTCATCGACCAGTGTATCTCAGCCAGTGCCAATGCGAAGAGCTAAGACCAAGGAGGGCAAAGGTAAGACTTGAGGAACTTCTCCCATCTAAGGAATTCAGGCATGACTTAAGGTCTCCAGTGAGGTTATCACATTGTAAAAGTAATCCTAAACACCAAATTGTTGTGATTTGGAAACCAAACTGTAAACTTTAGGTTCCAGTAGCTCACCTGGAAAAAAATCTCCAACATGCACATAGTACACAGTGTGGCTATTTCAGTCAGAATTTTGCATTTTGATTTGTATATTTTATTTGAATTGAGATTTCTCAGTGGTAATCTTTAATATTGTTGTGTAAGCTCTCTTTAATGTTTTTTAGAAAAACTTTTAAAATTATTATAAGAAAAAAATAATAATTACATTTTGAAAAATTGATATATTTTTTTATATTTTGAAAAAATCATTTAAAAAGTTTATCTTCAAAATTATATCATTTGGAAAGCTAATATTAAATCGAGGCCTTAGTCATCTTTACTGTATAAATGTGGCTAGTTTATGAACTGTCTTAATTAGCTCTTCAAATCGATCTTAGGCCCAGGCCATAAGAAGCAGAACAAAGGCCCACGAGCTCCGGAACCAAAGAAGACAGGCAAAAAGAAAATGGCGCCTCTGAAGATCAGACTGGGAGGGGTTAAACGCAAAGCTACTAGTTCAGTAAGTATCCTGGGCACTACTTATTCATACATTCACCTTTAGATCTATACTATTAAGCAAGGGTCTCAAAGTTAACTTATCCCTGAGTCACTAGCCAAGTCATCTTTACAGATCCATACACTGAGATGCACACACAGATACAAACTCCCAAGCGCATATACAGTGTTGTGTGTGGGTTATCCGAATGATTGAAGTTCCGGCCCAAGACTGCAAAATGATGGAATTTTAGTGATGAAGCAGACAGGAACGCTGCTCTTCAAACATAATAAATAAGAGGCCAAATAAGAGGCTAATCACAGCCTTGTTGTGGAACAGGCAACCGGCAATCCTTCATATTGGGGCTTATGACTCAGTCTGCTTAAAATTTAGGGGACCGGAAAAGGTCATTGGGGCTTAATTTTGAGAGCCATCCTATAAAGTGAACCCTGCCAAAGATAGTTGTTTTGCAGCATTCATTGACAAGTAACAAGTAGTGTCTCTGCAAAGATTGGTTTGGTACAATGGTTTCCTGGTATTTATTACCGGTAATTGTTGATTGACCACACATTTTATAAATATGCCTTAAAAACATTTGGTAACTTGATATAACTTGAGTGAGGGGAACAGTTCAGGAGAGGACATGTAAACTAGGTTATCACTAACATTATGATAGGTTTTAATTTCAATCTGTTGAATATGTCCCTTACTACTGAAATAAACTTTTTAGGACCAGTGAAATATCCTGCCTCGATATTTCGTTGTCACAGTTTTTTCTTAAAAACGGTTATCTTGCAAAGTGGGGCTTTTCTGTTTTTGGCTTGACCTTTCCATCTATTAGATTATCGTGTCCAACAAATATTGCTATCATAGGATGCGACCTGGAAACATTTTCTGGAATCTACCTTACATTTTCCAGAATTCCATGCCAGAGAGATCAGCAATATGGTTCTTTACAAAGACCTGATCACCTTTCTGGGTAATAGTATTTATCTGTTTTACAAAGTCTCATAATGGGGCCAGTAAAGAAAGAGGCAATGCATTCAGCAAATTCACACAGAGGAGCAGAAATACAGGAATACACAGGAATCCCCAAATGTAGCAATAGTGAAAGTAAGTATGTGAGGAGTTAGCAGGAGTGAGGAGGTAAAGGGAAGGACTTTGTTGCATAAGTTGGGATGTATACATTTATCACAGTGTAATTGGTCTGCGTATGTCGTTTAAATCTGCATCATTTGAGAGAACACTGGATTCTAATTTTAAGAGAAATCTAAATTTTCACATAAAATCTGAAACACTGATTACTGTTAAACTTGTACCACAAGCTCCAGACATTTAGAGTTATTTCTCATTGTGGTTGCGTTTTATTGTATATATGACTTCATTATCTCTCTGTCTGGTTATGACTAATTAGTGAATAAAAGAAAAAGGATCGTGGACATAATTAACAGGGTTATTAACTAAACTGACTAAGAATTCAAGGCTAACTTAAGGTGAATTTCATATTTAAGCTCAAAATACCCGAACTGGAAAATTTTTCTAAGTCAGCTATGCTTTCCATTCAGCTACTCTGGTCTTAAATTTGAAAATCTCTTTGAATTCACCTTCAATTCTCACTTTGATGAATAACCCTGGAAGATGGCCTTTGCAAATGTCAGCACTATGGATCTTAACCACAGTTGTGGCACAAGACCCTCTATAATTTCTCTAAGAAGAATGTTTGCATTGCAGCTCCGTTCCAGAAGATTAATGTTCATTTGTATTTATTAGGCTGTAATGGTACAACCGGAAACCATTTTCAATCCATAGCATAAGACAGTGAAACATTTGAATATGGTGTAAGTCACATAAGAAAAATAAATGTGGCGATATGTTCTGACTTTGCACAGTTGCATTATTTTATGGAGTTTACTAACATATTGTAATTCTTTCAGAGTGAGGAGCTTGGAGAGGCATCAGACATGGAGAACTCAAGTGTACACAGTTCTTCTGCTCCTTCTGATAGCTCCGGAAGGATAAAGAGGAAAAGAGGAAGACCGGCAGGGAAAAAGAAAAAGGGTCAGTGAGTTAGAGTATTCTGTACAAAGCTGAAATGGTTTAGAGATTTTAATATGAACAAACATGGATGAAAACTAAACATGAGAGCTAGATTGATTTCAGAACACCTTCTGTGATTCCCCTGCTGATAGGAAGACAAAACGAGATCACACTGAGGTCCAAACAAAATATGAGGAAATAGTGACTGAGAGAATAAAGACAATTGAACGTGGAATTACTTGCCTATTTACATAGGAGTGAAACTTATAGTCAATACGAGCAGTTTTCCTTTTCAGGAAGGCTGAAAAGGAACATGTCCATCAAGGTCAGGCTTTCTCACATCAGTTCTGTTATGATGACATTCTTAGTACGATTTGACAACTTAGTCATCATAAACAAGGAGTACTTTGCACTAGTCTTGTTGTCTGTGAAATTTACATGTTATGGATAATGTAATTGGGAGGCCATGTTTCAAAATGAGTGTTTTTAGCTTGCACTCTGATCCTATCACATCTGTCATCTTTAGTCATGAAAAACACAGAATATGTTTTTTTTTTTTTATTTCTCACTGTTTTTCTTCTACAGCTGTCATAGAGGAAGGTGTGTCGGCTGGGGAGGGCTACGAGACAGACCATCAGGATTACTGTGAGGTCTGCCAGCAGGGTGGTGAGATTATTCTGTGTGACACCTGTCCACGAGCCTATCACCTGGTGTGCCTGGAGCCAGAACTGGAGTGTGCTCCCCAGGGCAAATGGAGCTGCCCACACTGTGTAAGTGGATATTGCCGTTATATGGAAAATATGACTGATTGGTGACAGTGGTAGTGCATGCTACCTGGGAACTGTGAGACTAGTGGGAATCCAACTCCCTGCAGCTGCTCCCCTACTAAGCCAATGGTATAGTGCCTTTTAATGGATTGGGGTGCTTAAAGGACCACTATAGTGCCAGGAAAATAAACTCGTTTTCCTGGCACCATAGTGCCCTGAGGGTGCCCCCACCCTCAGGGTCCCACTCCCGTGGCGCTGAAGGGGGAGGAAGGGGTTAATCCCTTACCTCTTTTCCAGCGCCGGGCTCCCTCGGCGCTGGGACTCTCCTGCCTCTTCTGATGTCATCTGCTGAGAGCCGCGCACGCATTCAGCCAGTCTCATAGGAAAGCATTCTCAATGCCTTCCTATGGACGTTGGCATCTTCTCACTGGGAAAATCACAGTGAGAAGCGCGGAAGCGCCTCTAGCGGCTGTCAATGAGACAGCCACTAGAGGCTGGATTAACCCATAGATAAACATAGCAGTTTCTCTGAAACTGCTATGTTTACAGCAGAAAGGGTTAATCCTAGATGGACCTGGCACCCAGACCACTTCATTAAGCTGAAGTGGTCTGGGTGCCCATAGTGATCCTTTAATGTGATGAGAGGATGGCATTGACATGGGGAAAGGAAATGGTAAATCAGAAAATAGTGATTTGGAGTCAGGAAGAGGAAAAGTAAATTGGGGAAGAGGGTGAGACGCTCACATGGGAAGACTGATTGAGTTGGCAAGTGACATAGGAGAGCTATAAATATGTGGATTGTAGGTGGCAGTGACACAGTTGGAGGATGGGGCCATTAAGTCATGTTGCATTTTAAAGTGTCTGTTTTTTGTGGACAGGAGAAGGAGGGAGTGCAGTGGGAGGCCAAGGAGCTGGAAGAGGAGGAACTGGAGGAACGGCGGAGAGAACGGAGGGAGGAGGAAGATGACCACATGGAGTTCTGCCGTGTCTGTAAGGACGGAGGAGAATTGCTGTGCTGTGATGCCTGCGTATCATCCTACCACATCCACTGCCTGAACCCTCCGCTGCCGGATATCCCACATGGAGAGTGGCTCTGCCCACGCTGCACGGTGAGTGGTGGAGGGAGTGCACGGTATGGTAAAGGGGAAAGCCCTGGGAATGTAAACTGAAATTTGGAAAGAGATAAGATATAGCCAGAGAATGGGATGGGGTCAGGCTACTGGTAAATGAGAGAAATCAAAGTGCAGAGTAAAGATTTACCAGTCCGAGACAGAAAGGAGACTTTCTGCAAAAATGATCCAGCTCCACTTCAATCTCTGCCATTTTGGCCATAAGTCGGCAATTCTTTGGTAAATTCCCAGCAGTTCACAGTTTAGTGAATAACTCTGAAAGATTCAGCCATGAAATATGTGGAAACAAGCCGTCTGTTTACTCTGGGATTCCTCTGTCCATTTAGAGAACCGAGGAGTGATTTGCAATGATTTACAACAATCGTCAAATTTTCACTTATTGTTTTTAAAAGGTTTATTTTTTAAAATGATGGATATTGATTTTCTATTTTTATTTAGAATATTATATTTTTTATCTTGCTCAGCAGGTTCAGTCAGGCTGTACTGTTATCTGACCAACTGCTGCTCATCCTAACTTGTTGCTGTTGCAGTTTCACACAGAGCCATCACGGCTGACCAACTGCTGCTCATCCTAACTTGTTGCTGTTGCAGTTTCACACAGAGCCATCACGGCTGACCAACTGCTGCTCATCCTAACTTGTTGCTGTTGCAGTTTCACACAGAGCCATCACGGCTGACCAACTACTGCTAATCCTAACTTGCTGCTGTTGCAGTTTCACACAGAGCAATCACGGCTGACCAACTGCTGCTCATCCTAACTTGTTGCTGTTGCAGTTTCACACAGAGCCATCACGGCTGACCAACTACTGCTAATCCTAACTTGCTGCTGTTGCAGTTTCACACAGAGCCATCACGGCTGACCAACTACTGCTAATCCTAACTTGCTGCTGTTGCAGTTTCACACAGAGCCATCATGGCTGATCAACTACTGCTAATCCTAACTTGCTGCTGTTGCAGTTTCACACAGAGCCATCACGGCTGACCAACTACTGCTAATCCTAACTTGCTGCTGTTGCAGTTTCACACAGAGCAATCATGGCTGACCAACTACTGCTAATCCTAACTTGTTGCTGTTGCAGTTTCACACAGAGAAATCACAGCTGCTCAGTCAGATAGAAAAAAAGTTAAATTTTCTCCCAAAAAATCAATATGCATCATTTACAAAAAAAATATTTTAAGTTTCAATGAATGTAATAAATGTTTACAAAATGACAAGTGGAAATTTTATGACAGCTTTCATTTAATAGCTAGATTTTTTTGCTGCAGGGAATACCACGTTTCTATTATTCAAGTTGTGAGAGATCTATAAATATATGGATATATGTAACCAAGCGTTAACTTTCCCATCACTCAAGCTCATAGGAAAATGATATTTTCAACAGTGAAAGCAATTTCCATTTAAAATGGCTAGTGTTCACAAAAATAGTTCTAATTGATTTTATTTCTCTCCTCAGTGTCCTCGGCTAAAAGGCCGGGTCCAAAAGATCCTGCACTGGCGCTGGGGTGTGCCTCCTGAAGGAATAATGCTTCCACGACCCCCTAATGCCTCCTCCAATGAAGAGCAGCCCCAGGCCACACAGGGGAGGTCAGAGAGGGAATTCTTTGTGAAATGGTCCGGAATGTCATACTGGCACTGCAGCTGGATCACCGAGTTACAGGTCTGTGTGTCCATGCATTGAGAGTTCCTTTTTCTTTTACATATTTAAATGTGATCACTGCCATGTTTTTGTGTTAACCAAACTGCAAATAAGTCCGTATATAAAATTATATGCATGTGTAAAGAATCTCGTATGTTTTTGAAGCTGTCAGCATTAACAAGCACCAGTAATGGATAATTTATTGTCCTATGCATTACATTGTAGGATTGTTGAAAACTGCACTACAAATGTGCAGCCAAGCCAATCACAGGCAAAAAAAAAAGCAAAAATAAAGATCCAAAATATCTTTTAACATTCTAATAAAGCTGTCATCAAATGTAATGACAAGGTCATCGTAAAATACGTTATAAAATGTTACGTCACCCTTATATTAGCCAAATGTTGGAGTGAGTTATATATCCTAAATCATCTCACTCAAGCATTCTGACCTCAAGGGTCAAGCACTGTGCACTGTGGGATTTCACAGGGTCATGCGCGTCCTCCGCATTGGACTAGATGTGATCAATATCTCAAGCATACTTGGAAGGATTCAAAAAAGCATCCCTAACAGGGAACTACTGTAGTCATTGTAAAAGTGAAGCAGTTAACATGAAAAACAGTGGAATGTACGGGAACAGGCCTTTGTTTTCCTCTGTGGTTTAGAACTTCGCAGTATTTCTCTTTCTTCACCGTGTGAAAACTGTAGATAACCTGTCTCCTTGTCTGTCATCGCAGTCTGGTCCATGCTAAGTATGGCCAGCCAGGAGAGCCCCTGTGGATTTAGCATCACTAGCTCCATAGTGCCCTGTGTTTTGTGACTGAGTGACATAAGTCCAGATGATTCTGTGATCAGAAGAAAAGAGCGCACACTGAGCACAATGTTTTTCAGAGCTGTGTGAAATGATGAGAGCTTTGTGGGAACCTAGTGCTGAGAAGGATATAAGCTGTAATACAAAGATGCGGCCAGAGGAAATGATTTGTAAAAATATCATCAATTATGGACGGAGTCAAAAACCCTTGTAATCAGGAGACATCCATATACCTAAAATGAGAAGTATGGAAGTGCAGAGGTTTGGATTGGATTGTGAAGACTAACAGGCGTTCCTGCAGCCACTAGCTCAATGACAAATGACCGAGTATATTGTGCCTCCATAATCAGGAGCGATGTTTATTGCAGTGATAATATTTCGATCTCAGGACATACTTGGAAACTAGGAACAAGCTAAACGTGCCATTTCTAGTAACAGATTTTGCTATTCTCGTTTTAAAACCAAATTGCATCTGATACTGTTGACTGCTGCGTTTTCTGGTACTTTAGTTCATGTATTTCAGCATTGCTAACTACAGGGGAAACATTAAGATTCTCGGGCTTTATGTTTAGTTTTCAGTGACGTATCTTTATTTACACTTCTTGGTTTGTGAGTCTATGTGAATGTTTATATGTCAATACAGATCATGACAATACATGTTTCTAGTCCAATCTTCATGTTTAACTTCTTTTAATGCTTTTCTTTAGTTCAATCTCTGCCCTCTCTGCCAGTCTACAGGTTTCTCTTCATTTCACCAATCCAATATCCGCATGTTGCCCATCCAACTTTCTTCGATTCATTGCTTTCATCCAACTCATTTTACTCGCTTTCCCTTGTTCTAGCTGGAGATCTTCCACACAGTCATGTACCGGAATTTCCAGCGAAAAAATGACATGGACGAGCCTCCCCCATTTGATTATGGTTCTGGTGAGGATGAGGGGAAGAGCGAAAAGAGTAAGGACGCAGAATATTCTGACTTGGAGGAGAAATTCTACAGATATGGAATTAAACCTGAGTGGATGTCCATCCAAAGGATCATCAATCACAGGTCTCAGTTGTAGATTGGCAGCATTTTTTTGTTGTCCAGAATTCACTTAGCCTCAGTCCATTAGGATGGATAAGAGACCGTAGAGATAGAAATGAGCAATTGCATCTTTCAAACAAGTTGTGATTTTACGTGTAAGTGTATCCATGCTTTAAAGAGGGAATAATGCTATAGACAGAATTTTTTTCAGTGAGGTCTGGGCATATTGCCACACCAATACATCCTATTTATTCGGATTCAGTTTTCTAGACCAGGGGTTCTCAACGTTAGTCCTCAGGTTTAGGGATTACCTGGGTGTGTCTCAGGTGTTTAGAAAAAGAAAAAAAAAACACCTTAGAGTCTAAGGTCTTTTCCCCCCCCTTTTTCTAAACACCTGAGACACACCCAGGTAATCCCCAAATCCTGGACTGGTAGGGGGTCCTGAGGACTGGGTTGAGAACCCCTGTTCTAGACGGTATATTGAAGATTAGGTGTGAAACAGATTTCCTAATGTGGAATACGTAGCATATGGGCAGGCGTTAAGTGATCTGTTTTCGATTCATATCTATGTTCTCCAGTGTAAATAAGATAGGCGCTTATAGATGTCATTTTTAGGTAAAAGTCAGTGAGGGGAACTCTGGTGTGTGGGGCATGATTGGAGACCGATATCTGCTTTTTCTTCTATGCTCACCATAGCATGGACAGAAGGGGTTGTTATCACTACCTGATTAAATGGAGAGACCTGGCTTATGACCAGTCCACATGGGAGGAGGATGACATGAAACTGCCAGATTACGACTACCACAAACAGATGTACTGGAGGCACAGGTAATGTGTGAATGTTTCAATTTAAATCGGTTAATTTCTATTTGGAGAGGAAAGTCAGCTCCATTCTGAGATCTAAGTCTCTGTGCCTAAGTAATGATCAAGTTTACTTAAATTGAGTAGATCAGGGAAGATTTAAATCACTTTGCACTCGCCTAGCTTGGATCAATATTTCAAGGTTTTTCTCCAATGTTGGCTGAGTTTATTAATATTTTCCGCGCTAGAGCTATTAAAGTCAACTTGTCCTGAACTTGATAGTCAGGAATCTATTTACACTATGTACCATGGTTTATTCAAAGCCCACGTGATTTACAAAATTCAGTTAAAATTTATTCTCATATGTACTACAGGTTAATCGTTTTTCGAAGTTCTAGATATCCACAATATTTGTCTGCTGGCAGCAAAAAACGGGCAGCTGGCAAATGGTTAAAAGTATATCATGTTAATAAAAATATAAATTAATTAATATTATTTAAATGTATTAAAATGTTTCCATTGTGGAGTATATCGGGCTCCTATATGGAGTTCATCCTTTCTCCCCAGAACGTAGCTATCAAAGTGATGGTAATGTCAGCTTTTTTTTAAATTATACCCTTTATTAGAATCGGCAGCCGTCTGCATTAAAAATTGTTCCCAGGTATAACTATTTCGTTTTTATTTCCACAATTTGGTTCTGGATTTCAGACGTTCAGTTGCACCAAAACAGGTGGAAATTCTGTCAATATTCCAACTCAGAGGCTGTATTGCAAAATCTGGATATTTGTAAATCCTTAGTTGAATAAACCCATTTGTGTCCTGCCTTTGAAAAGTATAGATAGAAATATAAAGATGAAATAGATAGAAATAGATAGATAGTGACTGAAAGATAAAATGTAATATAAAAATATTATTAAATATAAAATCTCATGATTTAAAATGAAAATGATTTAGTAAAAACACACCCAACAAACAGTAATCAATAAACCATATAGCCCTGTCTGTGAGCACAGTTCTGCATACCTCCGAAGCAGCAATAGACTGCAGCCACACGGCAATAAAAGGCCAGACCCATCAGGATCAGAACAGCTAAATATTCTGGAAAACTGAGACTGTGCAGGCCTATGTTAATGGTGTGTTCTGTGTATTTGCAGTTATTTGACGCATTTCATATTCTGTCTCATGTGTTTATGTTGCTAAACCAATCCCCACCCTCTGCCGACTGCCTCCTAATTTCTCATTGTCACAATGCTCTCTTGCAGGGAACTGGTAATGGGAGACAGTACAAGCTGCCCTCCTAAATACAAGAGACATCACAAAGAATCCTACTTGGAAGAAGTGCCCAACACCCCAATCAATGATGTGAGTTCCCCTAACATCATCACAGAATACATAACTGGAAAATTGTTACCTAATACTGCGCACAGGTCATGTTTCAATTAGAGAAGACCCTTACTTTATTTTCTTTTAACCTTTAACCGCAGTTTATAAACACCACATTTACCAATAGCCTTATTAGAGAGATAGGCACACGTCACAGCTCATTCACAGATGGGAATCCCAATATTAAAGTTGACACTTATTAAAAAGTAATTTTAAGCACTAGATTCAGCCAATTACAGCAGTGTAGTCAGTTTGCTCGAGGCACACCTCGAGGTGGCTTGAGGCACACTGATTAAAACCACTGCACTAGGCAACATCCATACCCAGAGACTAGACTCAGCGGCTTGATAACCTCTATGTAGGTCATGCAATATGAATAGAGGCTAGAACAGGGATAGGCAACCTTCGGCACTCCAGATGTTTTGGACTACATCCCCCATAATGCTCTGAAACCCATAGTGCTGGCAAAAGCATCATGGGAGGTGTAGTCAAAGGCAATCCTATGTTCAGTCCAGCTTGGTATTGGTGGTCAGTCTAGACACAGAGGATCCATAAATCAAACACAGCTGTGCATGCGTTGAGTGAGCTGGACACTGTGTGCACTGTATCTTTGCTGTGTGAGGGCAATTAATACTGTCTCCTATTATGCTATATAGGATATGTAACATCCTTTTTCTTTGCAGCCTACAGTGAAATACGAAACACAGCCCGAGTTTGTGACCTCTACAGGTGGAACTCTACACATGTATCAGCTGGAGGGACTCAACTGGCTGCGATTCTCATGGGCGCAGGGCACGGATACCATCTTGGCAGATGAAATGGGACTTGGGAAAACTATTCAGACCATTGTGTTCCTGTACTCTCTGTATAAAGAGGTTAGAGGACAGGGAATTAATGAGATAGAGCAATGCAGGAAGCCTGGGGAAAAGATGGAGGAATGAAAGATCAGGCTTGGGTGAGATACATGGGTGTGGGTCCAGCAATGAGGGATGGGCAGGAGATCAGATGGATTGAATGGATACTAAAGAACTGAGCTGGAGAAATGGAAAGAAGTCAGCATGAGAATAATTGTTATTTTCATCCATGTCATTTTAAACATGACTTCATTGTCTGTGCTTGGCTGCTGCTGCTTGGACATTTCGTCATCACATTTCAACTTTTTGTAATTCTTTATTTTTGTAGTACAGTGCAAATAACACAAAATAAAGACATTTGAGCAGATTTCATTAAAGTGTGTCAGTAAGAGGTCACTATAGTGCCCGATGAACTGCACAATTTTAAAGTTAACAGTAATAGAAGTTGCTTATATATCAGATTAACAAGAAAAACAGAGCGTGGTAGTGGATATAGAATGCATGCTAGTAATAAAGACAAAGAGTGGTATGGGGAGAGAATAAAATGTCTATAGATTCTGGACAGAGACAGAGAGTGGTATGGGGGGAGAATAAAATGTCTATAGATCCTGGACAGAGACAGAGAGTGGTATGGGGGGAGAATAAAATGTCTATAGATTCAGGACAGAGACAGAGAGTGGTATGGGGGGAGAATAAAATATCTATAGATTCTGGACAGAGACAGAGAGTGGTATGGGGGGAGAATAAAATGTCTATAGATTCAGGACAGAGACAGAGAGTGGTATGGGGGGAGAATAAAATGTCTATAGATTCTGGACAGAGACAGAGAGTGGTACGGGGAGAGAATAAAATGTCTATAGATTCAGGACAGAGACAGAGAGTGGTACGGGGAGAGAATAAAATGTTTACATCATAGATCTTTTTTCTAAAGGAAAACTCTGACCAACATGCATTCTTAACGCTATAGTTTTAATATACCTATGTATGTCTATCTTTTTTTCCCCCATAATGCTGTAGTTTTAATATACCTATGTATAGCTTTTTTTCACCCAAGACTTGTAAGTGTAGGATTTTTTCCACATTGCTTTTTTCTTTGCACTAACTATAACTGTGAGAAATAAGACATTTTTGTAACCTACATTGCACCGTTATGCACCCTCTGCCTCACCTTACCATTTTCCTTCAGACTTTAAGGTTGCAGGGACTGAAAGATTCATACCCTACTATCAGTTTGCATTTAATAAAATATAATGATACTTTTTATATTAAAGGGACACTTTAACTTTTATTGAAGCAGTTTTGGTGTTTAATCATGTCCCTGCTGTCTGACTGCTCAATTCTCTGCCATTTAGGAGTTGAATTATTTGTTCATTCATTCCTATTATAATGATAATGATGTACTATTCTTTCGTTCATGAAGACTTTACAGAAGCAAATGACATAAAGATAGGCCAATCCATTGCTGTATCCAGAACCTTTGCATACATGCTGTTATTTCATTTAGAGTGTACTGATTCCTCACATTCTGTAAAGGATCACAGGGAGTACGGTACATTGCAAGACAATGCTGATGGATTTAGAATTGAGGGTATAGATCAAAAAGCTTACATTTTAGCATTAACAAAAAACTTGATGTAATGTTTACCCTCCTCTTAACCAGATGTACATGATTAATGTTGTTGGCTTGGGTCAGGCTTTTTTCATAGTAACGGTTTTCTCTCTCTGTTCCATAGGGCCATACACGAGGCCCCTTTCTTGTCAGTGCCCCTCTCTCCACCATCATAAACTGGGAGCGTGAATTTCAGATGTGGGCCACAGACTTCTATGTGGTGACATATACGGGAGACAAGGACAGCCGAGCTGTGATCAGAGAGAATGAGTTTTCCTATCAGGATAATGTCATAAAGGGAGGAAAGAAAGCCTTTAAGATGAAGGTGAGACATGTTGAAGAGCAAGGGATTCAATCCTATTGTACAGCGCTACGGAACTTGATGGCGCTATATAAATAATAAAATAGTAATAATAGGCAGAGAAAGTGCAGAATTTCTGTCCTCTGGTCTCATTAGGTTTTGGTATCCTGATGGTGGGTACGGGGACAATGTATTATTATGTGATGATTCTTTGGGTCCTGTATTCCTAGGCACAAGCCCAGGTGAAATTCCACGTGCTGCTCACATCTTACGAACTAGTAACCATTGATCAAGCTGCTCTGGGGTCTATTCGATGGGCCTGCCTGGTGGTAGATGAGGCTCATCGTCTAAAAAACAATCAATCAAAGGTATGTCTTTGACCTGATCGGATTTGTGCCTTCACTAATCAGCTGGTACAGTCTAAGCATTTTGGAGCGGATGGGCTCTCCATTTTCAAGGGGGGAAGGGCTGTCTAAAGAAACAAAAAAATATATAACATTTATTGTCCCTTCATTGTTTATAAGTAGGAGTAATTGTAACACTATTATATGTAACACTATTGGCTCTGCATACAATAAGAATACGTTTACACAATAACAAAGAGGTGTATAGCCTTAGAGGTGTCAGCATGAGGTATTCAGAAATAAAGGAATCATTGGGAGGTGTACATTTCTCAAGTTGTCAGTAGGATTGATTCAGTGATAGAGGAAGAGGTTGGAGGTGTCAGTAGGAGGCACACAATGATTAAGGAATGGGGTGAAGGTGTCAGTAAGAGGGACACAATGCTCAAGGAATTGACTGGAAATTTACAATCGCAGAAGAGAGAGGTCAGTAGGAGAAACACAGTAATAGAGATATTGGTGGAAGGAGTCCAGTCCTAGGAGTGATGCTCACATTGTTTTGCAGTTTTTCCGGGTACTTAATGGATACCAGATTGATTACAAATTGCTCCTCACTGGGACGCCATTACAGAACAACTTGGAGGAACTTTTCCACCTTCTCAACTTTCTCACCCCAGAGAGATTTAAGTAAGTCTTGTACATATAGATTGCATACAATTCCGTGACTGCAAGCGCTACCCATATAACTACGGTCTCCCCCACAGTAATCTGGAAGGCTTCCTGGAAGAATTTGCCGACATTTCCAAGGAAGATCAGATTAAGAAGTTGCATGATCTGCTGGGTCCTCACCTACTTCGTCGACTCAAAGCTGATGTTTTTAAGAACATGCCAGCCAAGACTGAGCTTATAGTTCGAGTGGAGCTCAGTCCCATGCAGAAGTAAGAGTCAAGCAAAAAACACTGACTCGGGGTGAGGTGGTCATGAGATAAGGCAGTGTATTGACTAGAGCAGGGGTCAGCAACCTATGGCACGTGTGCCATGCATGGCACTCAAGATGCCTTTGCACGCTACTCAGGGTTGCCAGAGACAAACCAGCTCTGGACTATCAGGAGTCCCATGGGACTTCACATGTATGTTAGTGCAAACCGAGCAGTGATTGCAGGTGGTGAGGGACAATCCTCAATTTACACATTGCACTTGTGCAGTAGAAGAACTTGTAAATGGGAAACCACACTGGAGTAGAGCAGCCCACAGTAGCTATCGCAGCTCTTGCTCTCTACCTGTACCTGGTCAGCTTGGTCCACACTGGACCCCAGGAAAGCCACCCACGCTGCTAGGTATGCACAGAGCTGCAGAATAAGCCTCCCCTCATACAAATAATACAGACAGCCTACACATATATAACACCACTGACAGTCCACCTAACCCACACAACCCCACAATACCACAATCAGACCCCTACATACACACAACCAAACACACAATGTCACATATCATCCACACACACAATTCTACAGCCAGTCCCAATACAAAGCCCACATTCATATACAATATAACAGCCCACATACTCTCTAATACAATGTTACAAAGTGCAGCTCCCAGAAATAACACAAGCAGAATACTGCAACATACGCACCTCAGCTTAAAAATATAGGACCGGCACGCCAAGGGACTTCACAATCCTATATCGGCACAGTGCTGCTAATAGGTTGCCTACCTCTGGACTAGAGCATGATATGCGAAATAGTTGGAGACAATAAAACTTGGGAAATTGCCAGCCACGAGCTCAGTATTCTGGATTGTGTTAGGATGCACATTTATTTTAATTTCTCTCTTTCGTGTGGCTTCATCCAGGAAATATTACAAATTCATCCTCACTCGAAATTTTGAGGCCCTTAATTCACGTGGAGGAGGGAACCAGGTCTCTCTTCTCAACATCATGATGGATCTTAAGAAATGCTGTAACCATCCATATCTCTTCCCTGTGGCTGCTCTGGTTAGTTCCATTAATTACCTCTAATAGCTTATTCTGTTGTTCCCTATACAGGATGACACAGACAGAAGGAGCTATGAGTCTGTCCCTCCCCCTACAGGGTGATACAGTGACACAGACAGAAGGGGCTGTGAGTCTGTCCCTCCCCCTGCAGGGTGACACAGTGACACAGACAGAAGGAGCTATGAGTCTGTCCCTCCCCCTGCAGGGTGACACGGTGACACAGACAGAAAGAGCTATGAGTCTCTCCCTCCCCCTGCAGGGTGACACGGTGACACAGACAGAAGGAGCTATGAGTCTGTCCCTCCCCCTGCAGGGTGACACAGACAGAAGGAGCTATGAGTCTGCCCCTCCCCCTGCAGGGTGACACGGTGACACAGACAGAAAGAGCTATGAGTCTGTCCCTCCCCCTGCAGGGTGACACAGACAGAAGGAGCTATGAGTCTGCCCCTCCCCCTGCAGGGTGACACGGTGACACAGACAGAAGGAGCTATGAATCTGTCCCTCCCCCTGCAGGGTGACACAGTGACACAGACAGAAGGAGCTATGAGTCTGTCCCTCCCCCTGCAGGGTGACATGGTGACACAGACAGAAGGAGCTGTGAGTCTGTCCCTCCCCCTGCAGGGTGACACAGTGACACAGACAGAAGGAGCTATGAGTCTGTCCCTCCCCCTGCAGGGTGACACAGTGACACAGACAGAAGGAGCTATGAGTCTGTCCCTCCCCCTGCAGGGTGACACAGTGACAGACAGAAGGAGCTATGAGTCTGTCCCTCCCCCTTCAGGGTGACATAGTGACACAGACAGAAGGAGCTATGAGTCTGTCCCTCCCACTGCAGGGTGACACTGTGACACAGACAGAAGGAGCTATGAGTCTGTCCCTATCCACCAGGGGTGACACGGTGACACACAGACAGAGGAGCTATGGGTCCTGTCCCTGCAGGGTGACACAGTGACACAGACAGAAGGAGATATGAGTCTGTCCCTCCCCCTGCAGGGTGACACGGTGACACAGACAGAAGGAGCTATGAGTCTGTCCCTCCCCCTGCAGGGTGACAGGGTGACAAAGCTATGAGTCTGCCCCTACCCCAGCAGGGTGACAGGGTGACAAAGCTATGAGTCTGTCCCTCCCCCTGCAGGGTGACACAGTGACACAGACAGAAGGAGCTATGAGTCTGTCCCTCCCCCTGCAGGGTGACACAGTGACACAGACAGAAGGAGCTATGAGTCTGTCCCTCCCCCTGCAGGGTGACACTGTGACACAGACAGAAGGAGCTATGAGTCTGTCCCTCCCCCTGCAGAGTGACACAGTGACACAGACAGAAGGAGCTATGAGTGTTGATTTAACCCGATTCACTTTTTCTCCTGTGTTTCAGGAGTCCCCAAAGCTTCCCAGTGGTGCGTATGAAGGTGGAGCGCTGATCAAGTCATCTGGAAAGCTGCTACTTCTGCATAAGATGCTTCGGAAGTTAAATGAACAGGGCCATAGAGTGCTGATCTTCTCACAGGTAGAAAATCTATTTTTCAATGAGTGTCTCTCTGTGCCAGCTCAGCTCGTACCGTCTGCTTTTATATCAAGTGAAGAAAACTCCAAAACCTGCTCCATAAAATCTATTTGTAATTGTCTTCCAGAAGATAATATTTTACTGTGGTTGTAGTTGTGGAGTGGCATCTTGCTCTGCTTGATAAATGACGAGGAACTTTTTAATATTGTCATTTTTCTGGTTAAAGGACCACTATAGTGCCAGGAAAACATACTCGTTTTCCTGGCACTATAGTGCCCTGAGGGTGCCCCCACCCTCAGGGTCCCCCTCCCGCCCGGCTCTGGAAGGGAAAGGGTTTTAACACCTTTCCGGCACAGGCGGAGGCTCTCTGCCTCCCTCTCCCTCCGTTAAGCCCTGCTGAATGCTGCAGCAAGCTTGGCATTCAGCAGTCTCACTCAAAAGCAAAAGCTCCTATGGATGCTGGCGTGCTCTCACTGTGATTTTCACAGTGAGAAGCACGCAAGCGCCTCTAGTGGCTGTCAATGAGACAGCCACTAGAGGATTGGGGGAAGGCTTAACCCATTCATAATTATAGCAGTTTCTCTGAAACTGCTATAATTATGAAACAATGGGTTGAGCCTAGCTGGACCTGGCACCCAGACCACTTCATTAAGCTGAAGTGGTCTGGGTGCCTAGAGTGGTCCTTTAATGGATAACCAGAGTTTCTAAAACTAATTACACTGGAAATGCTGCTCGTGTATTGTTTGTTCTGTCTGTTCTACTTCATTAGGAGAAATCTATCAAAGTGCTGCCAACACATTTATATATAATTTTCAGCTCCCTTTGACTCTATTTATTAAATCTGTTAGATTTCTTCATCGTTTTCTTCTTTAGCACCATAATTGTCATTTTTGAATAGACACCATTTTTTTAAGCAATGCAAGATATTTATCAATCGTTCCACCACTTTTTTCCAACAGAGAAGTGTTCTTTTTCATGCCCCTCTACATTCGACAGTTTTCTGAAATAGAAATTTCTGCAAAAACTGTCCGAATTTATAACGAAGAAAACTGACAATATTCGATCATTTAAAAAAAACTTTAATAGATACAATCAAAATAATGACGGGATTTAACGGTCTCGTTTCAGAACACTTTAATAAATATCACCCATTCCTGTTTGTCCTTATATATCTCCACCATGCACAATCTTCTCTGCTCTGATCTGAAACATCACTGTGCTATGGATGGTACTTACTAACACAGAATACACCTAGAATCCAGATCACTGTTATTGACCAGAAAAATGGAAAGAATTAAAAACTTATCAAATTCAACTATGACTGCATGACAAACTGAAGCTGGATAGGATATTTTCACTTTTCTGGAATTTATGTAAATCCCTCTGAAAAAGTTTCCCCATTTTTCTAAAACTTTTACAGATGACCAAGATGCTAGATCTCCTAGAAGACTTTCTGGATTACGAGGGTTACAAATATGAACGTATTGATGGAGGGATAACTGGGGCCCTCAGACAGGAAGCCATTGATCGGTTTAATGGTGAGCGTGGTCTAAGAGTCGACATGCATAAAATTACTTATTTCTTTACCATCTCTTTCCTTTTGCTAGTTTTTTTTCTCTGTCTTTCTTTCTTGGTTACATTCTAACACCTTTTTTTTCTGTTGGATTACAGCTCCTGGAGCTCAGCAGTTTTGTTTCTTGCTCTCTACACGTGCGGGGGGTCTGGGGATCAACCTCGCTACGGCTGACACGGTCATAATATATGACTCCGATTGGAACCCCCACAATGACATCCAGGTGAGTCTGAGCTATCTGTTACCTGTATGTATAGAAAGAGGACAGACTGAGCTATCTATCACTGTATATAAGGAGAGAGGACAGACTGAGCTATCTATCGCTGTATATACAGAGAGAGGACAGACTGAACTATCAATCACTGTATATACAGAGAGAGGACAGACTGAACTATCAATCACTGTATATACAGAGAGAGGGCAGACTGAGCTATCTATCACTGTATATACAGAGAGAGGACAGACTGAGCTATCTACCACTGTATATACAGAGAGAGGACAGACTGAGCTATCTATCACTTCTCTTATAACAGAATCTTGTGCATAATGTTTACTGATATTTTTTTACAGTGAGAAGGGTGAAACAGCAAAATAAATAAGAGTAAAACCGCAACATAAAAGAAAAACAAAAATACACAAAGTGGAAATGTTTGGATGCAGAATTCAAATTCAGTAAATGAAACTGTACAGTGTACGTGTAGGTTTAGAATCAGCGAGAAAATTCATTTTTTTGCAAGGATGTTTTAAAAGGTTGAACTTATGCCATTTAAAAAAAATAAAAAAAATAATTTATCTATTTAAATGATATGTAAACTGGTGAAATATTTGTAGCAAGGGGATTCAAAAAGATTATCCATTTTGTCCTGTCTTTCAGTTGTATAGACAGTCGAGCCAGGCGATAGACTTCATTTAAACAAATTATTTTGATTGTCTTCCTCTCCAGGCATTTAGTCGTGCTCATAGAATTGGTCAGGCGAACAAAGTGATGATTTACCGCTTTGTGACGCGAGCCTCGGTGGAAGAGAGGATAACTCAGGTGGCAAAAAGGAAGATGATGCTCACTCACCTGGTGGTTCGTCCAGGCCTCGGCTCCAAGGCTGGCTCCATGTCCAAGCAGGAGCTTGATGACATCTTGAAGTTTGGAACTGAGGAACTCTTTAAAGATGAAATTGAAAGTGAGATGTTGCCAATGTATTTAATGATGAGGAAGGGGAGGCTTCATTCTTATTCTGTTGTAACCATACTGGAGAAATCAGTTCCTGATTAAAAAATTCCTCATTTCCCCAGTCATAAGTTTGTCAATGCCTATATCACAGTAGAGCCTTCCTTTTTAAAGGAACATGACAGCATTAGGACCTCCCTAAGTTAAATGAAAAAAGCTTTTAACTTACCCTTTTTCCAGTGCCAGGACTCACTCCGTACAGCTGCCCAATCTGGCTGATGTCATACTGCAGGTGTTGGCTGAGATTTAGTCATCTCCTATAGTGTCCCATTTAAATACATTGAATTCTTTATTGTCTAAGTATCTGTTATGGTTTGGAGGGACTGATTAAACTTAAGTGTTATTTATTGCCCCAGCAATATAACCAGCTGTTCAGATAATTAATTCTGTTTAGCAGTATTTTACCAATTGATCTATTATTTTCCAGCCGGTGATAACAAGGAGGATGACAGCAGTGTAATCCATTATGATAATGGTGCAATTGCACGTCTTCTTGACCGGAATCAAGACGAGACGGAAGACACAGAGGTCCAGAACATGAATGAGTATCTCAGCTCCTTCAAAGTAGCTCAGTATGTGGTGCGGGAGGAGGAGAAGGTAAGAGGATAAATACAAATAACCTTTAACTCAAATGTTGGTGAACATTGAGTATGTTTGATTTACTGATTGTGGAATCTGGTACTAGATCCTAACTCTTACTTTATAGGAAGCGAGATTATACCACGTCTCATAATTCGGTTGTGGATTAGTACATTAAGTTGAGAATATACATTGTATGCTCTCTCCGTTATAAAGTGTCATGTCATTGTCTTGGTATTTGTGATGTTTTGTCTCAGCTGGAGGAGCTGGAGCGTGAGGTCATCAAGCAGGAGGAGAACGTGGATCCAGATTACTGGGAGAAGCTTCTACGGCATCACTATGAACAACAGCAGGAAGACCTGGCACGGAATCTGGGCAAAGGAAAGAGAGTGCGGAAACAGGTTAATTATAACGACGCAGCGCAGGAGGATCAGGGTGAGCTCTCACTCCTCACCATCCCGACATTCTATCTCTCCTCACCCACATTCACCTGAATCTCATATACGAAGGTTTCACCAGACTAATCCAGCCTCCACATGTATTTTCTGACTACTCCTAGTTATCTTCTGCAATAAACTAGGCTTTACTCAATAAATCAGAGTTGTTAGGAATAGACAAGAGAAATGCGCATATTAAGCCATAAAGCAGAGCTGGACGATAAGCAAGTCAATTAATTTATCTACTATGTTTAGTTTTTGTGGTTCCCTTATTAATTCTCCCCAAATCTGTGTTTGGTGAATAAACCTTATAGGCAACTATAGGTTTAGTCTAATAGTAGACCCTGGGAAATAGTAGTGAGGAAAGCAGGCACTCCCTGGCCTTTGCAGACCCCAGGATCTTTCAGATGAATGAATTTAGTGTTTTAAAGTCACTCTGCAAGTTGGTATAGTCTCGTGGGTTTGCTGACAATTTCTCTCAAATGTATCTCAGCGGTTCCTTGGAACATTTATCTTCTCTAGATAATCCTACCAATGCTCCCTTAGTTTACATTCTTTCCCCGTCTCTAATTTCTGCTTCATTCTGAACTTTGTGAACCCCACTCCTCCTCCCCTTGGTTTCCAATCACACATGTTCTATCCACATGCAGCTTTTTCACCCCCTCTTCTTACGGACACTTCCATAATAATTCCTCTACTTCTCCTTGTATTTCCATTACGCTTCACTACATCTGCATGCCCCATGTTTTTATTCATCTTCCACTCCTGGAGCTTGTGTGTTTTCTGCAGTGGAGGACCTAGTGTATGCTAGTTTGTGCATGTGTGTATGAGTATGTATACAGGGTGGCATTTGTGTGTAAATCTCAGGGTGTATATGCAATACCAGTGTGTGTGTGTGTGTGTGTGTGTGTGTGTGCGTGCAAGCATTTTCTGTATAGTAAAAAAAAAAGAATATATAGGTTGCGCTATATGCTCATAAACAAAAAGGTAAGTAGAATGAGACAAATATATATAAATAAACAGGAAAAATAATCCCAGTGCTAAAAAGTCTTTAATAAAACCTGTAAAAGTGCTTCAGTATGGAAAAAACCTGTAAAAGTGCTTGAGTATGGAAAAAGTCCAATAGGTAGCTGGGTCTTCTGATGTTGAGGTATCTCAGTTCAATAGTGGGTATATGAACATGTAAGAGAGACAGAGAAACTCCATTAGTGCAGATTGCAAATCGACAAATTGGTAGGTAAAAAATTCTAACCTATTTATGAGCATAAATTAGCTCAAGTGGTTATAGCGTTCAGTGGCGTTGATCCTCCACTGGTAGGATATAGGTGGTGAAGATATGATGAGCTCCTTGTTATATAGAGAGATAAGAAAACGATATAGTGCTCACTGAAATAATAAAAAAGTTAAAGGATAAAAGCGATAAAATACTCACATATATGAGCAGGATATACTGCTCAATATAACGGCGTGGGTGGAGTTATCCCCACCTAGGATTCTTGGGAAAATGCATGCTCCGATATAGCAGGTACCAGGTATAAAATAAAAGGTAAAATAATATAATAAAAAGGTATATAAAGGCTAATAAAAGGGCCAATATTCCTTTATTAATAATAACAGGATAAATATATATATATAACAAATATTAGAAACAGCCAAAACGCGTTTCGCCTCACAGGGCTTTATCAACTGGCAATAGAAAATGACAACCTGGTACATAGATGCTTTTATAAACTATCTGAACATATGCAAATTCAAAATTTGGCGCCAAAATGACGTCATCATTAAAATACAAAAGTACAGAGAAAAGTGCAAATCTTAAAAATATTCATAATATAATGGTGTAAGAATAATCCAAACTATATATTATAATTCATTACTAAAAACGAACATTTTTTAAAACAAACGGTAAAATAAATAAAACTAATGAAATCATGTGATCGCGCCCTTGCGCGGTCACGTGGTATAGTTAAGAGGACTCTGGGAAATGTATGCTGAACGTCAAATGACTAGACGTCAGCATGCTAGGCGAAGAGTAATAAGAGCCACCAATTACTGCCCAACAGCCAACCAGTCTGCTCTCCTCTGCCATATTCGGAGGAGGAAGTATTTACTGAAATGGTAACTACATATTTTCTAACATTAGTTATGTTTTTTTTCAGTCCTGCAGCATTACACTGGAATTATCTGGCTGGCTGTGAGCCAGCGCCAATGTCATCTTGTGGCCTCCTGACCACCACCATCAATTGGTTAATTTCAGACACCAGCAAATGAATGAACCCCTTTTCCTAGGTGTGCTGATTGCAGATGGGAATGCTGTTCCCTTGTTTGTATTGTGCAGCAGGGGTGATAAGCATCATGCAAGCACCCATGGCTGCAGTTATTCCAGTTTTGGGCCCTCGGCCCATGACTGACAGCCACTGATACTCATTGTGCCCCTCTGCCCCCAAAACCTTGTGGGCCTTGGTGCATCATCTTTGCATTCTCCTTCCCACCCTAAGTCCATATAAATGCCACGTCCCACTTGCCATGTTCCACCTGCTTGCTTTTATTTATCCTCTCTCCTGTCGCTTTATCTTACCCATATATTTTTTTTTTTAAATAGAGTCAGGAGAAGGAACATAGCAAAGTCTAGGAAGGTTAGTATCATTGTTTAACAAATTCACGGAGACAGTGTAGGTAGGAGATGTATCAGACTCATAATTATTAATATTACAGAAAGAGAGGTGTAAATGTAACACGTTATTATGATATCTCTAGACAATCAGTCTGAATATTCTGTGGGTTCAGAAGAGGAAGATGAAGATTTTGACGAGCGAGCAGAAGGTGAGATGAAATGAGCTCATAGGTTCGTTATCTCTTGTCTCCCGAGGGTTTCAGTTACTCAACTATCTTGTGCTATCACAGGCCGAAGGCAGTCTCGCCGGCAGCTGCGCAATGAGAAAGACAAGCCGCTTCCCCCTCTTCTGGCCCGTGTTGGTGGGAGTATAGAGGTAAGGGTCCACTCCAACTCTTTCTACATACACAGTATCATTTGTCAATGGTGTAGGCTGCTGCTGGACAAAGGTCATCAGGAAGACTGAGTGCAGACGTCAACTTCATCCTCATCTCTTCTAATACTCTTCCATTCCACTGTGCTTTTATTATAAGAGCTGTCTCCACAGTTCCTATAGCAGGTGAAATATGAGGTTTTAGTTTTTTTTAAAAGTCTGATTTCTAGACTAAAAGATTATTATGTTTATTTTTTTATTTTTTTTTAGTGAAGGAAGCAGCCCTACATATTCCTTAGTCTTTAAAAAAAATCCCCTACGCCTGCTTATTTATTGTTATTTTATGGATGTGATTTGTAAACCGGCTGCAGCGGTTTTCACACCAAACTTTTGTTTTGTTATTTGTGTGTTTGTGCTAATATTTTCCTGTAAATGCACCATGTTTCCTGTTTGACTGTCTTACAACGGGCAATGTCATTAGGAAACAAAAAAATATATATATTTTGTATTTTGGAGTATTCGTATGCAACTCGTGCAAATATGAGCTACAATTTTTATACATAACCACCCGTGTATTTAAAGCTAAAAAAACTCACTTGTACAACTATATATTAAGAGCCTGTTAAAAAAAAAAAAAAGAAAAATACCTGTTAAATATGATAGATAGGGAAATGAATGCATCCACGTAAAACAACTCATTTACAGGGTTTTTCACTAAAGAGAGAATTAGAAGTGGATTTAGCATTTAAGGCCAAAGTTGCCGAACTGAAAGCACAGCTGACATTTCTAGAATCTTAGGCACTACTGGCAGGGGTTTTGTGATTGAGAGATGAATACGGTTTTATTGTTATTGTGTTTGAGCCCAGTGGTTGAATTTGGGCCCAGGGGTTCAATTTTTGGGAGAGCAGAGTAGGGTGTTTTTTATCCTGCAATCCGGGACGCTGTGTAATACTGATTTGGACCCAGATTATTTTGGCTCCACTCAGAACTGTGTCACAGGGGAACCAGGGTTAGGCATTTAACTAATTAAAGAAAGGCATGGCTGCTTCATAAATCCTTAAGGACCACAAGCTGTAATACCAGTCTTGTCTCTGTGTACTCTATGCCAAAATGGAATGGTTCATGTATTTAACTTTGGCTGACTTATATAGTCATACTGTATATTATTCCATTAATAATTCTTAAAGAACATATGGTTATGATGGCTTAGACTATTATTGGTCCTTAAGGGGTTAAACCTTCTATTAGTGCTATATAGGTGAAGCAGGAGTAAGTCCTGAGCCTGTGACAGATACAGACTGTATTTTGCAATCTGCTAGTTGAACTGGTAATTGAGAATGGAATTTTAGCTCGAAATCTCACAGCTGGAAAAATAGTGAATCTGTCAAGTTTTTAAATTTGCTGATTTTGGCCTAAAATTTCAATTTCCCTGGTCAATTCTTGGTATATTAAATCTTGACAACATCGTCTGTTTCTTTATTTTAGGTCCTTGGATTTAACACACGCCAGCGCAAGGCTTTCCTTAATGCAGTGATGCGATGGGGCATGCCGCCTCAAGACGCTTTCAGCACACACTGGCTTGTGAGAGACCTGAGGGGCAAGTCAGAAAAGGAGTTCAAGTAAGTGGCCGCCATGTCAGCTCCTCTTAGCCCCAATGTTACTAAACTATAACTTGTATACACAGCACAGATATTGTCAGCCTCCCTTAACACCACGGTTACTAAACTATAACTTGTATACACAGTACAGATACTGCCTGCCTCCCTTAACACCACGGTTACTAAACCATAACTTGTATACACAGCACACATATTGTCAGCCTCCCTTAACACCACAGTTACTAAACCATAACTTGTATACACAGCACACATATTGTCAGCCTCCCTTAACACCACGGTTACTAAACCATAACTTGTATACACAGCACACATATTGTCAGCCTCCCTTAACACCACGGTTACTAAACTATAACTTGTATACACAGCACAGATATTGTCAGCCTCCCTTAACACCACGGTTACTAAACCATAACTTGTATACACAGCACAGATATTGTCAGCCTCCCTTAACACCACGGTTACTAAACCATAACTTGTATACACAGCACAGATATTGTCAGCCTCCCTTAACACCACAGTTACCAAACTATAACTTGTATACACAGCACAGATACTGCCAGCCTCCTCCTCCCCATGCTAGACCATGACATGTATGTACAGCACAGACAGTGCCAGCCTTCCCCTCCCCATGCTAGACCCTGACATGTACGTACAGCACAAACAGTGCCATCCTCCTCCTCCCCCATACTAGACCCTGACATGTACGCACAGCACAGACAGTGCCAGCCTCCCCCTCCCCCATGCTAGACCCTGACATGTACGCACAGCACAGACAGTGCCAGCCTCCCCCTCCCCCATGCTAGACCCTGACATGTACGTACAGCACAAACAGTGCCAACCTCCCCCTCCCCCATGCTAGACCCTAACATGTACGTACAGCACAAACAGTGCCAGCCTCCCCCTCACCCATGCTAGACCCTGACATGTACGTACAGCACAGGCAGCGGCAGTCTCCCCCATGCTAGACCCTGACATGTACATACAGCACAGACAGTGCCAGCCTCCCCCTCCCCATGCCAGACCCTGACATGAACGTACAGCACTGGCAGTGACAGCCTCCCCCATGCTAGACCATGACATGTACGTACAGCACAGACAGTGCCAGCCTCCCCCATGCTAGACCCTAACATGTACGTACAGCTCAGACAGCGGCAGTGCCAGTCTGCCAATCTCACACTGTTGGCCATAACACAGACTGAAGCTACAATGCAGACAGATATGGTGGTCTCCCACGTGATGACGCTCTTACTCATCTGATGCCAGCTGAGTCAAATAATGTCTGTATCCTGGAGGTGATAGCGAGTTTCTTATCACCGCTCTCACACAGACACACACTATAATCTGCTTCCAGATCTATAAACGGAGGAGACCTGAGTGGTGTCTGATCCTCCCTCCCTGGGGCAGAACATAAGAGGTCGTATGCTGACTTCGTGTAGACTTGGCTGGTTAGGATGCTTTGGCATATCTGATGGGCAAAACACCAACAATCTGTAGGTTTCTGTTTCTTCTTGTTTATTTCCCTTTAACCTTCGCTAAACCCCCAGATAATTAAAATCTAATTACATACATGCACAAGTTTCTGCAGGCCATGTTTAACGGTCAGATATGGAGGTAATGAGGGCTGGCTGCTGCGTTAAGCAGGAGATAGGATACCTGTGGCAGATTTGGTTTTGTGCCAAGCAGAGGAACTGCCCAGATCTCATGTTGAGATATCTCCCAAGTCACCACTGGGACAGTAAACAATAAACAATGTTTTTTAATTTACTTTTCCTGGATTTTAGCTGCAAGAAGAGGGCTTCTCTATTGTCCTGTATGGCACAGAATGTATAGGGTGTTATGCAGGATTTTACAAGTTTGATTTCTTCTGTCTGTAGTCCTTTGCTTCACACCTTGCCAATGCCCAGTTTTAATTTATTACAGCAGGTTAGATCCCACTGTCTGCTGGGGCTTCATCTCCCTTGGCAGACTGGTCAGGTAAGACAGTAACTGCAGTTCTAGTTAGACCAATTAGAGAGAATGTCCCTAGTTCTTCCTTCCTTAGTAGAATTTTTTTTTTTTTAAACTAGTTTAATGACACTTTCTTGCCAAAAGAACTTCTGATGTAATCACTTAGGCTGGGTAGCCTGAGCCGCTTGTTTTGTCTGTGACGTGCAATATTAATATTGGAATGGACCCCAGAGCGGGCAAGATTCCAGGAACTGTCAGTTTTAAAGAACAATAGAATTGTCACCACTTCATTACTCATTCCTTCGTTGTGCTGTCTCCAGTGGAGACTTATAGGCATAACCTTTCAGTCTTATATTAAAGGGACACTCTGAGTATCAAAACCACATCTTAATGTAGTGGTTTCGGTGCGTAAACCCTGTCCCTGCAGCCTTAAAGATGTAAACATTGCCATTTGTGAGGATGCCTCTAGTGGCTGTCAGTCAGACAATCAGTCAATCAGACAGCCACGAGAGGCACTTCCTAGTGAAGATCTTCTATAAATGAATGTGATCACGTTCCTAATCATCACGCCTAGCCAAACACTGATAATTCTTGTCGTAGAGAAGTATAGATCAGGACAGCACTGTATAAAAGGTGAGTTTTACTTATATTAGAAGGAACTCTCTAACTTGATGAATATTCATGAATTGATACATTTATTCATAACATTAGTGTTCCTTTAAATATTGTTTTGATCAACATTTATCAATTTATCTCTCGCTTATTTTGCCCTTACTGTTTGTGTCTCCTAGGGCATATGTATCTCTCTTTATGAGACATCTGTGTGAGCCAGGTGCGGATGGCTCTGAGACGTTTGCAGATGGTGTTCCTCGAGAGGGACTATCCCGCCAGCAGGTTCTGACCCGTATCGGCGTCATGTCTTTAGTCAAGAAAAAGGTACCAGTCATTGATCTTTTATAATAAGTGGCTCTGACTGCCTGTGCTGTAATATGTTATGGACCTAGTGTCTCTTCCGCCATGACATGGCACCTGCGGGTAAATGGGCTCTTCCTGCTTAGCAGAATGACGTGGTGTGCAGCTTTTGTACAGTGGTTATCCCTCCCTAAAATTGCAAATGTGAACATAATGACCCATTTTGTATAGTGTTGCAGCTGTGAGCAGTGTGATTCTTCCTGCATGGCTTGGCAGCTGTGGGCATGGCGACTCTCTGCATGGCATTTGTGAGCAGAGTGAATCTATATGCTTGGCGCCCCTGCTGTGGGCAGAGGGTCTCTCCCTGCTTGGCGCAGCTGCCCTGGGCAGAGGGACTCACCCAGTCATATTGTTTGCGTAATTTGCCTCCAGGTGCAAGAGTTTGAGCATATCAACGGGCGCTGGAGTATGCCAGAGCTCATGCCTGACCCTAATCTAGACTCCAAACTCTCATCCCGGGCATCGTCCCCCACTGTAAAGACTTCCACCACCACACCGGAGCCCAGCCTAACAAACACTCCCTGCACGTCCAAACCAGGTTTGTATGATGGATGGAGGTAGAGCCTCTGACTTCCTCCTACCTAAATTGGAATTGTCACTCTACTTCCAAATATTCTAATTACTTCTTGGAACTCATTTAAAGGGACACTGTAAGCACTATTGCAACTTTAACTTAAGGAGATGGCTTTGATGTACAGATCATGCCGGACAGTCTCACTGCTCAGTTATCTGGCATTTAGGGGTTAAATCACTTTTTTTAAGGCAGCTCTCGTCACACATCCCCTGGCTGTGACCCACACAGCCTCCTGTTTAAACTGAATTTAATCACACACCAGAGGCTGCTGTCAGCTGTAGCAGGCAATTAACAGAACTGAAGATAAGAACTTGTAAATTAAATAAGGTGCAGATGAAATAAGGTAAGATAAAAAAAATTAGACCTCTTTTTCAGGTATGTGTATGGAGGCTGTGTGAGTGTCAGCCAGGGGAGGTGTGGCTCAGGCTGCATTAGCAAATTAGAAACCTAAATGGCAGCAAAATGACCTGTGATACTGCATGGATATGATCTATACACCAACACAGATTTTATGAAGCTAAAAGTGTTTGGTTTAGTCTCTACCCTGCAATGTTTGCATATCTCCCATGCCAGGCGTTTGGCCACCTATAGTTACTTAGCTCTTTGTTCAGCTGGATAAAGGTCTAATGGAGGCTCGTACAGCAGCTAAAACACCATTGTTTAACCCCTTAAGGACCAAACTTCTGGAATAAAAGGGAATCATGACATGTCACACACGTCATGTGACCTTAAGGGGTTAAACATAGAATTCTAGAACTGTGTTCACGTATGTTCAGTAATCGTGTTGGAATTTAAATAGTCACTGACATGCCAGTTTGGTGGGTTATAGTTCTTCAGATCCTGTTACATTTGTGACCTTACCATTTAGTGCTTCTGAAATGACCATAATTGTATAGTTTCTACATTGCTTATGTGTACCAATCTCCTTGTGTATAGAAGTCTTTAAAGATGCTTAGAACTGGGTATCTTCTTCCCCTTCTTGCTTCTTGCTGATTTTAAAACTCAGGCCCATGTTTGTTTATGTATTCTGCTTTCTCAACACTATGTGTTTATTCCTGCACATTATAAATGGGACCTGATGGAATACACCCAAAGTTATTAAAAGAGCTTAGTGGTGTACTAGCAAAACCATTAACAGATTTATTTAACCAATCATTGTTAACAGGAGTAGTCCCAGAAGATTGGAAGTTAGCGAATGTTGTGCCCATTCACAAAAAAGGTAATAGGGAGGAGTCGGGCAACTATAGGCCAGTAAGCCTTACTTCAGTAGTGGAGAAAGTGATGGAAACCATGTTAAAGGATAGGATTGATGAACATCTAAAAACACATGGATTTCAAGATCAGAGACAACATGGGTTTACTTCAGGGAGATCATGCCAAACTAATCTTATTGATTTTTTGATTGGGTAACTAAAATTATAGATCAGGGTGGTGCAGTAGACATTGCTTACCTAGATTTCAGTAAGGCTTTTGACACTGTTGCACATAGAAGGCTTATCAATAAACTGCAATCTTTAAGTTTGGATTCAAATATTGTTGAATGGGTAAGGCAGTGGCTGAGTGACAGGCAACAGAGGGTTGTAGTCAATGGAATATATTCGAAGCTTGGACTTGTCACCAGTGGGGTACCTCAGGGATCTGTACTTGGACCCATTCTCTTTAATATTTTTATTAGTGATATTGCAGAAGGTTTTGATGGTAAGGTATGTCTTTTTGCTGATGATACTAAGATATGTAACAGGGTTGATGTTCCAGGAGGGATAAGCCAAATGACAAATGATTTAGGTAAACTAGAAAAATGGTCAGAATTGTGGCAACTGACATTTAATGTGGATAAGTGCAAGATAATGCATCTTGGATGTAAAAACCCAAGGGCAGAGTACAGAATATTTGATAGAGTCCTAACCTCAACATCTGAGGAAAGGGATTTAGGGGTGATTATTTCTGATGACTTAAAGGTAGGCAGACAATGTAATAGATCAGCAGGAAATGCTAGCAGAATGCTTGGTTGTATAGGGAGAGGTATTATCAGTAGAAAGAGGGAAGTGCTCATGCCATTGTACAGAACACTGGTGAGACCTCACTTGGAGTATTGTACACAGTACTGGAGACCGTATCTCCAGAAAGATATTGATACCTTAGAGAGGGTTCAGAGAAGGGCTACTAAACTGGTTCATGGATTGCGGGATAAAACTTACCAGGAAAGGTTAAAGGATCTTAACATGTATAGCTTGGAGGAAAGACGAGACAGGGTGGATATGATAGAAACATTTAAATACATAAAGGGAATCAACACAGTAAAGGAGGAGACTATATTCAAAAGAAGACAAACTACCACAACAAGAGGACATAGTCACATTCTATGTATCTATGTTACCTCTCAAGTTAAAACCGCAGGACCCGGCCATATCGCTCTTTTATTCATAGCTCAATCTCTACACCACAGTACTCAAACTTTGGTGTCAAGGTGAGGGTTTTTGGTTTTATATTAAAAAAATTTTTTTTTGTCATTTTAACATCCTTCTAAATACATACTAAATGCATGTACACATCAGTGGTCCTTGTTTTGTTTGTATATGTGGAGCTTTAAGCTCCCCTGTCTGTAGCGCAAAGATTCAGCATTAATGATCCATAGAGAAATCTAAATTGGAGGGGAATATTAGATGTGCAAAGCAAGAAAGGCTTTAAATAATATAATGAAGAACAACCTTATGAAGGCTCTTACAATGTTAGGATTTAACCTACCAGATCTCGGATACTATTAGTGCAGAGATGGTAATACATCATTTAAATGAAGGAGACAGATATTCCTATGTTCCTCGTGCTAAGGATGTGTCCTGATCCTTATTTACTATAGTTAGATACAGTAACTAACATTGATTTCTGTTAAACAAACCAGTAATCTGTGTGAGGAATTTAAGCATTTTGTCTTGGTTGTGTAGTAGTTAAGAGGGTTTTTGTGTTTTGTTTCTTTAATTAAAAAAAAAAGCTGGTATTTGACTTTGAAGCCTGGATCAGCAACTCGATTCTCCTGGGGTATCTGTATAATATACAATCCTGTTTGCATTTTCTCTATATGAAAAAGAGTTTGTGTTTGTGTGTCGTGCTTTTTTGTTTTTAATGACTCTGTTCCTGTTTAGAGGTTGGTCTGCAAAGAATAATGGCTGAAAGAGGGAAATGCAGAAATTGACATGTTGTGTCTTTATTTCAGCCACACCTGCCCCAAGTGAAAGGGGTGAGAATGGAGGAACCCCAATCGATAGAGAGGAGTCAGAGAGCAAGGATGAAAAGGAGAAAGAGGCGAAGGGTACAGAGAATAAAGATCCGGACACTGACCAAGCTGGAACTGGAAGAGTATGTGTTCTGTCTTCTCATATACATAACCTGCTTGTTTATAACACTGTGCTGGTTAAGTGAGATAGAACTGACGTGTTTTGCATTCCTTCTAGACCCCGAGCCCTCCGGACACTGTCAGCCCACCATCCACTGCTGTACCAGAGAAGAGTGAGGATAAACCGACTGCTGAATCCACAGATGTACCCATTGGAAAGGAGGAACCAGATGTCCCTGCTGTGGAGGAAAAGCCTGGTGTGTGTATATTACTGTATATTGTAGTGATGGTATCAGACGGAGAGCGTGATATATTCACTAAGCAACTCTCAACATACAATCGAGGGACGTAGGACCATCTGAATTGTGCTTCTCCTCTGCAAAACTGACCCCAGATCTCCAGGACCTGAAATATCTGGCAACCTAACTGTAAGAAAACCCACTCTCTCTCATCCCAGGAGCACACGACATTACCTTTTTACCTCCAATAGTAATATTAATTATAGAGGACCCTTGACTTTAATACTATTTTATAAATATTGTCAGTGGTGTATCCTGGTTTTGTGCTGCATGACAAAACTCAGACACACCCCTACCCCCCCCCCGCTTTCTAAATACACATACACACTCACTGACAGACACATATACACTCAGTGTCAGACACACACATTCACTAGCTAACTGACATACACACTCACTTACAGACACATACAGTCACTAGCAGACACACATTAACTAACAGACACGCATACACTCACTAACAGACACACACACACACTAACAGACACACACATAGTAACACACTCCCTAACAGACACACACACACTCACACACACTAACAGAGACACTCACTAACAGAGACACACACACACTCACTAACACACACATTCGCAAACTCACATTTTTTTTTTAAATTCAATCCTCCCAGCCTCCTTATCTTTCCCTGGAGTCCAGGGTGGCCGATCAGTCACTGCAGTCGGCGAGGGAGCACTGATCCTCCTGTTCAGCTCCCTCGCGCGCCGCATAGTGATGCAGGAGCCGCAATGACGTCATATTCCGGCTCCTGCATCACTGCGGTGCGCGCGAGGGAGCTGAACAGGAGGAAAGTGCTGCCGCTGCCAGCCTGGGGTGCCCTGAGTTGGCCACCCGGCCAGTTCCTGGGCCCCCCAGGACAAGAGGGCTGGCAAGGCATTTGCCAGGCCGATTGGGGGGCGGCTTTTGCCACATTTTTTTTTTTTTTTTTTTTTGGCAAATGCCTTGTTTGCCTCGGGGTAAACACACCCCTGAATATTGTACTTGCATAATCAAGCACTGTGAGCAGATGTCTTTCATTGGAGTCTGTCTTCTATATTGTACATTGTTTGTAATGTGGATGAAGAAATGAGTGCTCTTAAACCTTTTCCCTTCCACAGTCCCTGATCTCGAGAAAGTGCTGGATGGAGTTACTGAGCAGGACAAGGCTTCAGAGAGACCAGATGGAGTACCAGGGGATTCACAGAGAGGTGAGGTGATATATAAACTGGGCCTCTACTACGCACTACCTGTCAATGTCACCTAGCAGGGGGTGGGACAGAAGACATGATTAACTTGACGGTCATTGATTCAGTAATTGAAGCATGGAGTCAATAGGATGGGATGACATATCTCCTTGGAGCCCTGAGTACTCATAATGTGCTATCGGGACACACTAGCCTCTGAGATGTTAGTTTGGAGTTTGCCCTGTTTGGGGTTCAGGATAACTTCCTTAGGAAATTATAATAATGGTAACAGGCAGCAGCTAAATAACAATATGAAGGGAAGGAATGGCATTCAGTAATAATGTCTCTTTCCTTCAGTGGCAGAGGAGGGGAAGTTGGAGAAAGAGGCTGTAAAAGATGTGACGCCCATCAGTCAAAGGGAAGACGTAAAGCCCAGCAATGGAAGAAAGGAGGAGAGCAAACCAGAGAGGCCTCGGTTTATGTTCAACATTGCAGATGGCGGCTTCACAGGTAGCTTGCGGGAAGGTGGACGTGCGGTCACAGGGAGAGGGTAACTGAGATCCTGAGTGAGGAAACCAGATGTGATGAATCAATGGGGAAATAAAGGAGCAGCCTTTTCTATCAGATCATGCCCTAACGCACATTTAATGGTGTTTGGACAATTCTGAGACTTGTCTTCCTCCTACAGAGCTTCACACCCTCTGGCAGAATGAAGAGCGAGCGGCCATCTGCTCCGGCAGACTCAATGAGATCTGGCACCGGAGGCATGATTACTGGTTACTGGCTGGTATTGTAATGTATCCTTCTCTGTTCTGGGGCTCTAGCAGTTCCAATCCACTCTGTTTGAAGTTGCACAATGTTCACGCAAAAATAATTATATGATCACATATGTTGCCCAGAATTTTGTATATAAAACCTGGCACCCATCCCACCATTTTGGCTGTGCAAGCAGGATATGGTTACCAGGACCCAGATGTATAATGGCTGATGAAATCGGAGGCATTTTTAGAGTGTTTGGAAAGATGGGGTTAATTTTCTCACCTGTTGATAATTTATAACTGAAAGAGAATATTGATCTATCAGGGCATGTGGAAAATAATTGGATACAACCCTTCCGTGAGAGAATGTCTACATTAATCTCTCCATATGTCTGTAATAAAATGACGAGGAAATGAAGACAACTGACTCCTTGTAGATATTTATGAATTATTTTATATCGTTGGGTTATTGATACCTTTATTAGTGATACATCTGGTCATCTTTTGTACATATTTAGTGTGCTGAATGTTTTCCTTTTGTGTCTGCTTCTCTGTGGCGTGTGTTCTTAACAATCCTTCAGACATGGCTACGCTCGATGGCAGGACATCCAGAATGACGCTCCTTTTTCTATCATCAATGAGCCTTTCAAATCAGAGACCAATAAGGGCAACTTTTTGGAGATGAAAAACAAATTCCTCGCCAGACGTTTCAAGGTTTAAAAAAACAAAATCATTTCCAACTCTCACTCAGACTTCTCCCTGTCTTACAATTAATAATAGGTGTTTGGAGTAAGCCTAAATAAAAAATATATATAATTCTCCTTTTTGCTAATCTATTCAGCTCACAAGTTCATCTGGGATATACTGATGATATAATTGTGAAAAATGCAAGGGGTGACAGAATGGTGATTATAAATAGTCTGTGGGTTTCTTTTTCCTGCTAAAAACAAGTGGAACGCATGGGCTCTGTCACCTGTGTAAAATACAGTGGCTTACATGTCTGTATATATACTGTCATTGACTCACCCTGGTCATAGCAGTAACATCCACTATTACCCTTTGTCCTCTGTGAATTTCCTCACGATGTCTTACTCTATGAGCTGCATCTTAAAACCTGAATTTCTGTTAATTAGTGCTATGTTCCTGTTCTATATGCAATATTTAGTTAGTTAATCGTTTCATAGCTTCACTTACTCTTATTTCCAGCTCCTGGAGCAGGCGTTGGTCATAGAGGAGCAGTTGCGTCGAGCTGCCTATTTGAACATGACGCAGGACCCTTCCCACCCAGCCATGGCCCTCAACGCTCGCTTCTCAGAAGTGGAATGTCTGGCTGAGAGTCACCAGCATCTCTCCAAGGAGTCCTTGGCAGGAAACAAGCCAGCCAACGCTGTCCTACATAAAGGTATGGAGAGCGAGGGGAAACGAGAGAGGATCGCATAATATCAAGAGGATTAAACTAGCTTTATTTGATAAATCTGTGGGAAGTCCTCCGACCACAAATCATGAACGTTGTGTGGTCACGATGGCCTGTTGATAAGTGCAGGCCATTAAGTGGAATCCAAGCCATTCCTTGATGTAAGCTGATTGAGCAGGGCCCTCCACCTCTCTGTTCCTGTATGTCCAATTGTCTGGTTAAAAATTACATGTCTGTTAGTCCACCCAATGTACAGCGCTACGGAATGTGATGGCGCTATATAAACAATAAAATAATAAAAATAATAATAATAATGAGACTTTTACTTTAAGTATGTCTCCTATTAGACGATGGCCAATATTGAAATGAAAACGGCAATTAGCAGCTGAGTGAGAGGTGAAAACGGGGAATGTCTGGTGCCGTATGCACAATTTCTGAGCTGTCTCCCTCTTTAGTGCTGAACCAGCTGGAGGAGCTGCTGAGCGATATGAAGGCAGATGTTACACGCCTGCCTGCCTCCCTCGCACGTATCCCTCCCATCGCGGCAAGACTGCAGATGTCAGAGCGCAGTATCCTGAGCCGGCTTGCAAGCAAGGGGAGCGAAAGCACGGCTCCGCCGGTGAGAGACTGGTGGGGCAAGTCAGTAAACACTGGATGGGGGGAAAGTGCAGAAAAGTGAATAATAGAATGTCTAATGGTAAAATTAAACTTTAAGAAGAGTTGGATCCTGGTCTTCAAAAGATAGATAGGCGGTTAACGCAGCATCAAAGCGGGGCCAGCTTTATATGCTGCTAGTCTTTATCATTTTGTTTTCTTCTGCTTTTGTTTTTAACCTTCAGGTGGGCAGACACTCCGTGCTTTGTTCTACTTACATCAGCTGGAGGACAGACACATGTATCTCTCTCAATACGTTCTTAGCGTTTTACTAGACTACACATTGTAGACATGTCTTTTTATTGGGGGAAAAACTGTCTGTTGAAGCAGATGTTAACCTAAAATCTTGGAATACGCTGCCAGCTTAATCCCTGCCACTTCTTAGTCCAATCCTGAAACCGTGAAATATCCGTTCTCATAGCGGACTATCCCTTTAACACTTGTATTGTCAGGGAGATCGAATGCTACACTGACATTAACGTAATTCAGTGGTTAAAACTGAGTGCTTTGTAAATAAGCAGCATAGCTGGTAACTGGTTTCTTTTAGTTGAGACCAAGGAATTTATCTACTCAGTGAGTTAAAAGTTGACTTGGTGATTGAGAACTTTTTAGCTATTTTGTCCTATGTTTCACTAATCACAATACATGGTACCACCCCTTAGGCACCTAAATTATTGTTCTGCTGTTGAGATTTTTCTTATTTGCAGGTGGGATTTAGGATTTTTTTTTTTTTTTTAAATGAATGCACTTCAATTCCGCTTTATATTCCCAGGTGTTCCCCCCTGGACCATACACCACCCCGCCTCTCTTCGGGGGACCATTCACAAGCAACCCCTCCACAGCTACACTTTCCGGGGCGAACTATAATCAGATGCCTCTGGGATCATTCCTTTCAGGTACGATAGGTGGCTGGGACTCTCATTTAGCGTTAACAGTAAATGGAAGGATGGCACCAGGTGCTCCAGGCACTCTAACCACTTCAATTAGATTAAGTGATTACAGTGCGTCGAGTGTCCCTTTTAATTACCAAGCTATTCTACCAGCAAATGTTTGCTATCAGTCAATTCTTGAAAAACTACTTAAAACCATTCTACAAAATAATGGGATTTGTTCAATGGATTTAACTGTTTTGTACAACAGTGGTATGAAAATGTAAATATGATAAAGCCGTCTTGTGCTTTGAAATACACATGGTTCTTCATTATTGTGTCTAGAGATGAAGAATATGTTTCTAATTCTCTTGTATTTTTCTGTTACATTCCATTTCTTCTGTCTTTGCCACATTCTAATATTCTCTGTTGTTGTCCTTTCAGCTTCCAATGGTCCCTCTGTCCTTGTGAAAAAAGAAATGGATTTAATGGACAGGAAAGAAGGGAGAGGGGGAGAGGTGATCTGCATCGATGACTGAAGCTTTCTCCACCCTTGTTGCTGGCTAATGAATGGGAAAACCTTGTGCAGAACTGAGGGGAACCAGTGATAGACCAGAGGCCACAGTGAATATTGGCCATATCTTTTTGTCATCATGGTGGTCTGCCTCTTCTGCTTGATACCCAATCCGGAATGGAGCTACAAGTCTGTCTCTGCAGTGGGGATAATAGCCATGTGTTAGTCTTCACCAGACCAGTGCGGGTGCTGCAAACAAATATGGCAGCTATGACTTTGTTCCTGCCCCTGCAGGGTGCCACAAACTGCATTATGCGTATATCCTTTCCTTGCACTTTCTAATGTATGGTGTCACTTACTGAGATACCACGTTCACTTCTAGAACGCAAACACCCAGAAGGAGCCTTGCTCTGTTCCCGTCTATTCAGGGTGTCACAGTGGTGTAAACCAAAGAGGGCTAAAAGCTGGTTTCTCCCCTGCCTAGGACAACCAGTAACAGTAATGTGCGTAAAGAGATAACGGTGCCTGTTGTTTCAATTTTAACTTTAATTTACAGAACATTGACTAAACGGCACTAAATGTAATCACATAGAGTGGACTGAACCTGACCGCCATTAACCCTGCCCCCTCCACTGTAGAGCTAGCGGATGGACTAAAAGTAAAACCAATTAAAGGTTTTAATGGATCCTTTAATAAAAAATAACATTAGTGGTAGTGTTCATTTAAGTTTGCTTTGTATGAGATGGCACATTCAGAGAAGTTGAAATATCCTTTTGCTATTCTTGCAGACAGAGGACTGTCATTGTTATTTTCATTGTGCTTTTTATTCTGGGATCTGACCATGGCTGTATTGTAAATGGCTGTAAACACCAATTGGAACACAGCTTTTTGTGGATTTGTTATTTTGTTTTACCAGTAAAACTGACAAAAGGAATTTTAAACACATATATTTGAGCTTTTCTCTTTGTGCTATATTATATAAAATCCATTTAGATTTCTAAAGAATGCAAAAAGTTATTTCCCCACAGTGTGACAGCAGTGAGTAACGCATAGGACGTTTCAATCTCCTGTCCATCTATCTGTCACGATGTCCTCTCTGCGCCTCTCCTGCAGTGATCTCATTCCAACCAACGTTGTATACCATGTATATACATACACGTCGCTTCCGTATAATGCTGCCTCTGGCCTGCAATGCCTTGTGTGGTTCTGTTTCTCTCATGGTCCGCTCTTTGCCCCGTGATGTACATATAAATTATACTTTTTATTTCACTCCGTTGCATTAATCTGTGTCGTTTGTTCCTCTCATTTGAAGGTAATGCGTACTTGTAAAACAAGTTATTTCTGTGTGTGAAACATGTACATAAATGTTTATGAATGACAGCCTTAAATAGGCTTGAACCAAGGCAAATGGGCTGCTAACGGCTACACAATGCAACATGGGGCTGACTCTTACCACACACCATTACACATTACTTTGTGAGCGATACACACCAAGTTTTATTTTGTTTATTTTGCGTCTCATCTCTTTCTGTACTGTTTAGTAAAGCTTACCTTTGGAACGTGCCTTGAGGCTGATAAATCACAGAGTGTGGTTTAAACACCCTGACTTCTAAATGTGCATTGCCGGCACTTGAGATTTTTGTGTTTGTTTTTTAACAAAGCTGACGGATTTATAAGTCTATCTTAGTCTCCAAAATAACATCATAACTTCACAGTGTGGTGTTGTGGCTTCTAAGTTCTTCAAACGTTAGCCAATACCTTGTGTACTGCAATGCAGTGTTACCTGGTCCTAGGGGACCCTGCATCCAAAGCCTTGTGTGTGGCTTTTTAAAATTAATTAATATATAAATACAGGATGATTCAATGTTACATGGTTCCTGTAGGAATTAGACCATTTCAAGCAGTTTGTCATTCCAATTAAATCAGCCTCAGATGGTAAAATCATTGCATAATGAATGGTGGTAGACCTATGATCATTCGGCAATATGTTGACAGAGTTCAGAAATGTCACATTCATCTAAGGTGAGGTTCCTCTTCCGAAAGATAAATAATTTGTCTCTAGGACCTGTTATGTTTCAGTAAATGCTTTATATCACAGCTTGGAAATGCAGTAGGTTTGCCAAAGCAAAGTGTTTAATAAACAAGTCATATTCATTGTATTCATATAAAACATGCAATCAGGAAATCTTCGCCATGACTCCGGAACCGAATCTCTTACAAGGGAAAACAAAATGTAAAACTATGTCAAAAAGACATATCTTGCAGCTAGTTTCATGGAAATCAAATGCATAGTTATTTACTAAAATGAGAATTATTAGGAATTCAACATTATTTTCAGATTTAAAAAAAGCTCAACTGGAAGGATAGCTGATCTCAATAATTATTCCCAAACAGCTATTTTGGCCTTAAAGGGGAACTGTCACTTTTTTTGGAACTGGAAAGGAGAAACATTGGAGATCACCTGTAAGGTTTCTGTTTTATTTAAAATTTCTATTACAGATTTGGCAAATTATATGGTAATCGAGTTCAGACAAATCCAGGGCAAGCTTTGCAAATCAAGTGACGCGTTTCACGTTAATGCAAGTGACGCGTTTCACTTTGGCCAATGACCCTGTGAGATTATTAGGTTCGGTACATCAGGAAAAAGAAATCTGCATGTTTGAACAGATTTGATCATCTGCTTTTTAAAGGTCCTGAGCCACAATCTCTAGGCAGAAAGTCCCTGCCCTCATAGAAATTTTACATGAGCGCATAATATCAAATAATAAAAAACAAAAACAGACATAATGGGCCATACACCTTCATAAAACAACAGCTCTTAGAAGGGACTTGATAAATTTACACTCCCAGCATCATAACCACCTGGAGTGCTTTGGCACCATCCCATGGTAAGATGACAAACTGTTTTAGTACGATTTGACATATTACCAGGGTCCCCCCGGAGCAAAGCAGGGCCATGCTTATTGTATGTAATAAGCCCCTAGACTAACATTGGCTGAGAGCATAAACTCAGCTCTCTCAGACAAAGAGCACAGTCCTGCTTTGGACATGCTTTAATCTGCAGAGATGTTAGGCTTTACCTGTAGGAGAGGATGGGATTCAGGGATGGGAACTGCAGTGGTTTTTGTGATTGGAGTGTTCCTTTAAACATGTCTTGATAGCCTTGTCTTTGGGAATCCCCTAACAAGAGCCGTCACATTATGAGTGAGTCACTCAGAAACTAAAGGAAAGGTGAGTGCCCGGAGTTTGCAGAAGTTGTATATTACATTTCACTTTCAGTTTATGATGAAGAGAATGTGACACAAACAGCGGAGTAAAACGTGAGTGTTTTTGTCGTGAATTTAGGATTTAGCTGTGTCTGAATGCATTTTTATTTCACTGTCGTGTTTGTGACTGTTTACATTCTTCTAATGTCAGTGATTGCTACATGTCTTTATTGAGGTATAGCCTTTCACAGACTCTCTCAGGGCATGCGCTGTGTGTGATATTATGTTCCCAGTTTGTACTTATGATTTTATTTTTTAAATAGATTTTATACTTTGTCTAGTTTTCTTGTTCAAAAACGTCAGTAAAGACACCTGGAAATATCTTCAAAGCTTCACACGTTAGGCTTCAGCAATGAATGATTGTAGGAAACGAGAGGTCCATTTCTTACTCTGTAGTTCCCAGTAATATATCTGGTATCTCGTGTTTATACAATGCTTGTCAATTTCTGGATATCTGTGGGTATCTGATGAGTTCTGCCAGTCTACGGGAGGAAAGTACGTATAAAGCTAATTAATCATGCAACTTACAATTTGTAAATGGATAAGGGTTGATTTTTTTTATTTTTTTTATTTATTTTGTCTAACACATAGGGTTATTCACCAAAGTGAGAATTCAAAGTAAATTTCAAATTTAAGATCAAAATAGCGAAACTGGAAAAATCTGTAAGTTCGCTATGATTTCAGTTTAGTTACTGTGGCTTCAATTTCGAAATTCACTGTAAATTCTCAATCAAGGGTTATTCACTATTGTGACAATTGCCAGGAATCTCCAGTGAATTTAAAATTTAAGGGGTAAGTAGCTGAACTGAAATACAAAGTCGGTTATGCATTCAGTTTAGCTATTTTAGCTTTACATTTGTCATTGATGTTGAATATTTCTTTGAATTCCTGGCAGTTTTCACTTTACCGAAATACCCTGTAAATATCTAGGCAGGTGGTTAAAGGGACACTATAGTCACCCAAACCACGTCATTGCATTGAAGTGTTCTGGGTGCAGTGTCCCTGTCCCCTAAACCCTGAAATGTAAAATGTTGCAGTTTTTGAATAAGTGCAATGCTTACATTGTGGAGTTAAGTTGACATGACACGGGAGCCCCTCCCTATAGGATAGAACTGATTTAATACCTTCCTATGAGGAAGTTCAGTTGCGCACTATGCCCTTGCTGCTCATGTGTATTAGGTCCCCAGTGCTCCCCTATGCGCAGCGTGAGATTGGTGCTCCTCTACGAGCAGCATTGGTTTCTTGAAACTGAAATCTCAGAATTCGGATGCCGTACTGGTAGGAGCTGATACTGGCGCTGGAAGCAACTTCGGGGTTAAACTTTTTGAGAATGGTTTAACCCCTTGAAGTACGATCTCTCCTGGAGGCCTCATAGCACCGTAAGGCACCATAACAACTTCAAGTAGATGAAGTTGTTATGGTGCCTAAACTGATTCATTGTCATTTATTGTTTTTCTTTCCTTATGCACCGTGTACCTCAATGATTATATTCCTCCTTTGCTACTTGCCTTTTATCGATTATGTTTTCTTCCTTGCACAGGTTTGAAAGGAATTTATTTTAAATGTGAAAATTTTTATAACAGAAAAAACAACTCGGGGGGGAGGAGAAGGGATACAGAAAACAGAGGGGGGGTGGGGGGGCGTTACGTGTTTCCAAGCGTTTTGTTACATACAAACGTGCTGCATTGACCTCCACCTGTACATACACAGATGGGCTTGTAGGCTTTATTACAGCATTAGCGGTCTTATCCTGCAATTTCTGTTTTTAATGAAACTTGGTAAATACATGAGAAAAACGCAACTTTGTTTTACATGTATTTCATGAAAGGATTATTATATCAAAAAAATCGTTTTGAGGTGACATTTTAAGCTCTCCCTTGTTTACGCTCCACATAAGAAAAGTAGTCCCTATAACTAAAAATGTAAGGTGAATAAAAAACACTAGCACAACTTAAATGGACATTGTAGGTGCCTCTAGTGATGTGCTCTCACTGTGCTGACCAACAACATTTTCCTTGGTGTCCCCAGAGGCGAGACACCAGGGAACGAAATCGGGACAGCAGGATTGGATCCCAAAATCAGGACTGTGCTGACAAAATCAAGATTGTTGGGAGGCCTGTAGAACCTCTTGCTTTGAAAATGACCAAGTAGTTTAGATGTGAAGGTAGTTGCAACAGACAGGGTTATTGACCAAGTGACAATTCAAAGTGAATTTCAAATTCAAGGTAAAAAAAGCCAAAATAGGAAATGTTCTCATTTTTCGTTTGTCTTTGCTTCTGGATCGGCTATTTTGGCCTTAAATGTAAAACCTTGAAATCTCATTTTAGTGAATAATTCTGAGGCTGATGCAGTTTTTTTTTTGCCAACATAGTGTTCATAAAATGGAGATCACCTTTTTTAAAGTGAATCTGTAAAATAAACTAAAGGCTTTTCTGTTCATATATGAGAGCTACATGCTGTGCATGGGTGACAATGAAAAGTAACTGGGGCCAGGCTGACAACACAGCGCTGCGCACGGGCAACAACACAATCTGCCAGGGGCCAGGCTGACAACACAGTGCTGCGCATGGGCGACGACGAAATCTGCTAGGGGCCAGGCTGGCAACACAGCGCTGCGCATGGGCGACGACGAAATCTGCCAGGGGCCAGGCTGGCAACACAGCGCTGCGCATGGGCGACGCCAAAATCTGCCAGGGGCCAGGCTGGCAACACAGCGCTGCGCATGGGCGACGACAAAATCTGCCAGGGGCCAGGCTGGCAACACAGCGCTGCGCATGGGCGACGACATCTGCCAGGGCCAGGCTGACAACACAGCGCTGCGCATGGGCAACAGCAAAATCTGCCAGGGGCCAGGGTGGTAACAGCGCTGCGCATGGGCATCGACAAAATCTGCCAGGGGCCAGGCTGGCAATACAGCGCTGCGCATGGGCGACGACAAAATCTGCCAGCGGCCAGGCTGGCAATACAGCGCTGCGCATGGGCGACGACAAAATCTGCCAGGGGCCAGGCTGGCAATACAGCGCTGCGCATGGGCGACGACAAAATCTGCCAGGGGCCAGGCTGGCAACACAGCGCTGCGCATGGGCGACGTCAAAATCTGCCAGGGGCCAGGCTGACAGCGTTGCGCATGGGCGACGACAAAATCTGCCAGGGGCCAGACTGACAGCGCTGCGCATGGGCGACGACAAAATCTGCCAGGGGCCAGGCTGACAACACAGCGCTGCGCATGGGCGACGACAAAATCTACCAGGTGCCAGACTGACAGCGCTGCGCATGGGCGACGACAAAATCTGCCAGGGGCCAGGCTGACAACACAGCGCTGCGCATGTGCGACGACGAAATCTGCCAGGGGCCAGGCTGACAACACAGCGCTGCGCATGGGCAACAGCAAAATCTGCCAGGGGCCAGGGTGGAAACAGCGCTGCGCATGGGCGTCGACAAAATCTGCCAGTGGCCAGGCTGGCAATACAGCGCTGCACATGGGCGACGACAAAATCTGCCAGCGGCCAGGCTGACAATACAGCGCTGCGCATGGGCGACGACAAAATCTGCCAGCGGCCAGGCTGACAATACAGCGCTGCGCATGGGCGACGACAAAATCTGCCAGCGGCCAGGCTGACAACACAGCGCTGCGCATGGGCGACAACAAAATCTGCCAGGGGCCAGGCTGACAGCGCTGCGCATGGGCCAGGCTGACAGCGCTGCGCATGGGCGACGACAAAATCTGCCAGGGGCCAGGCTGACAGCGCTGCGCATGGGTGATAACGCAATGTTCCTGTGGCTGGGCTGAGAACCCCCTCTGATAGGCAGGGCCCCTGTCCATGCCCAGCCTCCATCCCACCATAGTCCTGGAATATAAACTGCATTTCCTGACTGCCCTGCCTGGACAGAGCTCACTGGGAAACATAAACCAACAGCTGCAGGAGCTGAGGAGAGTCTGTAAGGCAGGCTGTGCTGAGCAGGGAGGCCTGGGCCCATGACGTCATGCTAGCAGCCAGACCAGTAACAGTGACGTCATCAAGAGGCGCGTGGGCTGGACAAGGTGGAAAGGGAGGTCTGATGACGTCATTCCCTCATGGACAGGGCCAGTCTAAGAGGAAGCTGGGAAGTGACGTCAAGGATTCCACTAGTCAGCAGCTTCTCAGTGAGCAGGCAGCAGGTATGTGCTGGGAATACACTGTGTCATGTGACCTGCCATGTGTGTCTGTACACTGTGTCATGTGACCTGCCATGTGTGTCTGTACACTGAGTCATGTGACCTGCCATGTGTGTGTCTGTACACTGTGTCATGTGACCTGCCATGTGTGTGTACCTGGCTGTCTGTACACTGTCATGTGACCTGCCATGTGTGTGTCTGTACACTGTGTCATGTGACCTGCCATGTGTGTGTCTGTACACTGTGTCATGTGACCTGCCATGTGTGTGTCTGTACACTGAGTCATGTGACCTGCCATGTGTGTGTCTGTACACTGTGTCATGTGACCTGCCATGTGTGTGTACCTGGCTGTCTGTACACTGTCATGTGACCTGCCATGTGTGTGTCTGTACACTGTGTCATGTGACCTGCCATGTGTGTGTCTGTACACTGTGTCATGTGACCTGCCATGTGTGTGTCTGTACACTGTGTCATGTGACCTGCCATGTGTGTGTCTGTACACTGTGTCATGTGACCTGCCATGTATGTGTCTGTACACTGTGTCATGTGACCTGCCATGTGTGTGTACCTGGCTGTCTGTACACTGTCATGTGACCTGCCATGTGTGTGTCTGTACACTGTGTCATGTGACCTGCCATGTGTGTGTCTGTACACTGTGTCATGTGACCTGCCATGTGTGTGTCTGTACACTGTGTCATGTGACCTGCCATGTGTGTGTCTGTACACTGTGTCATGTGACCTGCCATGTATGTGTCTGTACACTGTGTCATGTGACCTGCCATGTGTGTCTGTACACTGTGTCATGTGACCTGCAATGTGTGTGTACCTGGCTGTCTGTACACTGTGTCATGTGACCTGCCGTGTGTGTCTGTACACTGTGTCATGTGACCTGCCATGCGTGTCTGTACACTGTGTCGTGTGACCTGCCATGTGTTTGTACCTGGCTGTCTGTACACTGTGTCATGTGACCTGCCATGTGTGTGTACCTGGCTGTCTGTACACTGTGTCATGTGACCTGCCATGTGTGTGTACCTGGCTACCTGTTCACTGTGTCATGTGACCTGCTATGTGTGTGTGTGTACCTGGCTATCTGCATATTGTGTCATGTGACCTGCAATGTGTGTGTACCTGGCTGTCTGTACACTGTGTCATATAGCCAGGGGTAAGTGTGCTCTGTGCATGGAGGAAATGAGTGTGTGCAGTGTGGATATAGGGGACAGTGTGCATTGGGAATATGGGGCATGGATGATAAAGTGCAGTGGTGGTGCAGGGGCATATGAGCATTATGGGCATAGTAGTGTAATGCTTAAATTGTGTAATGAGTGTGTCTGTGTAATGTATGTAGAATTCTGGCAATTAGGAGATACATTTAACACGATGTGTGTAGAGTTGTGTTGATTGTGTGTTGGAGTAATTGTGTGTATTTTCTATAGCAGGTGTTTAATGTACAGTAGACTTGCTGTGATGGTTCAATATGTATGTAAGGAAGCACCTGTACCCATAGTGGTACCTCTGTCGTAGTTTCTCCTAGATCTCGCAATGAAGTTGTGAAAATAACTCCCATGTACCCAAACATCAGTCGAGACTTGATGAAAGGTACAAAAGGGTTTTTTGGGGGGGGGTTTTTTAGGCAAAATCACACACATTTATACCCAGACATCCAGCATGGGGTCTCTGTTCGGAAACCCCTAAGCCCACCCAGGCGTCTCTGTCTGGGAGAAAAATTGGGCTGATCCTCGGTAAACAAATTATCTCCTAAATACAGAGAGCGCAATACAAAAAATACCCCCAAAACACACATTAAATATCAAGGTATCCCAACATATCATACATCCGCCAAAAGGTCTGATTCGAGCGACCCCGGATCCATGGGGTATTGTCCAAACAACATCGTCTCAAAGTTTTAACCGGCCGTTGTGGCAAGTTATAACGAAAAGATTTCCATACTCTCAGTGGAATAACGGGGCTTATATCCTGGCAAGGAAGGGGAGCTCCCTGGTGGTCACATTTAAGGGGTAGGTGCTTCTCTACAAATCACTGAGTTCCAGACCGAACGTGGGTTACATCGGCTCCCTGATAACTTCTTCTGGGCAGCGAACAAGCGTAGTAGGTGAAAAAAGTACACAGGGGAGGGAAAATGCTCAGGGGGTCGCTTAGTAGATCATAGTGTTTAGATCTTTACAATGTACATAGGACATGTAGTGTGTGCTTTCTGTGAAATGGGTTTTGTAATGCTTGTATGAAATCTAATATAAGTATAGTGTAATATTTAGTAGTGTTTGTATGACTTGCTGTTGGATGTTTTAGCGTTTGCACCATAATCACTACAGTGCTTTTTATGGTTATGGTTTCAGAAGTGCCCTGGTGTGCTCCCCCATTCCCATTGTAAGTATTTAAATTGTTTTAGAACGGTTACACTTCTTACCTGTCAGGCGCCACTACGGCGACAGGGGAGTGGGAAACACTGTCTGAGCTAAACCCTGAGGCGCAGGCTAGGCTCATTGACTGAGAGCGATCTGCAGATGTTCGTAGCCCATGAGCTAGCTGTGCACCACACGGTTTATCTCAGGAGAGCTCCTGAGGTGGAGCTTTCAGCTGTCATGTAGCTGTATTGGTGGTGGGGAGCGGCGCCTGATGGATCCTGTTCTAAAATGGTTTGTCTACTTATAATGGGGGAAAACCGGGGCAATCCTGGCACCTTAATCAGGCCTCCCAACAGTCCTGTGTCATTAGAGCTCCCTGCATTATCCAGTTGGGTCTGCCACTTTTCTTTTCTTTTTCACTGTCCACCCATTCCGATATCACCCCTTCTGGGAGGAATGCTTAACCGTCACAGCGTGCTGTTAAGATTATGGTGCTTGGAATGTTCCTGTCAATTAATTCTAAGGGACATATCCGTGTTTGTGTATGTTCTGTTTGTAGTGTGGATATAGAAGATTTGAAGGAGGACACACAATATATAAAACTTCTATAGCTTTTTTTTTTTTTTTTTTCTTCTTAACAATTTGTCGCCCTTTAAGTCCCCACCTGGCCCTCTCTGTGGCCCTCCCATTCTTCTTGCTTTGAAGAATGTATTGTACTCCTTTTCATATTTGTTTTTTTGTTTGTTTTGTTCCAACAGGCACCTTTTCCTTGATCACACTGTAGACAACCAATACATTTAAAAAAAATAAAGATAAAATTAAAGCAGCGATGCATGTCTTGTCTCCTCAAGCAGCCATCGCAAAAGTTACCAGCATGGAGCCATCCGAAGAAGAAAAGGCCCTGCATACCTTGGAGTCTGTCTGTTTTGTTCATGCAAAGACGAGCCAAGTTTGCGTACTCGTAGATAATCATCGGGAAGAGCTGCAGAAAATCCAGTATCACATCCACCACGAGGATGACATAGAAATCTGCTCAAGCTTTTTAAATGCCACATGCCTTCAAGGTTCTCTGTGTTCACGGCATCATACCGTACTCCCTTACGCCTGGCAGCTGAGAGAGAAGACCACGCACATATGGCAGAGCGTGGGAGGGTGCGGTCAGGAGATGCTAGAACGGCTTTATAGCAACCCGAAGATTGTACACGTCAAAGGAATGGTCAAGTAAGTGTCACGTTTTCTACAATAATGCATGACTGACACGAAGAACACAAGTGTTCAGTAAATCTAAATATGCCTTGAGACATAACGGAGGTTATGTTCTAAGCTATAGATATTCTTCCAAATTTTATCAAAAATTTTAATTTGGCAATTTTACTAGAGGTAACGTACCAGTCAAGAGATTACTTGTGTGAATTCACTCTGTGTCTACTTAAAAAAATAAAGTAAGTCATGGCAATTGGTGATGATTGTGTGCAAATTGACCCCAAAGTTATCCACGTGGAGGGAGAGTTAGGATTGCATTTTGAGAGGGTTTTTAAGCAGCAAATTGAAAGAAAAGCATTTTGCGTGATGGTTGTTTGCACGAAAACAGCCGTCTACAGTGGTTTCTATTCCACGTTCTGTGGTACACTGCTATGTCACAAGCCGCTTCATTGTGTCACGTGAAAACATTGACTTCCTGGCTGAAATAGATTGGATACAGTACTTAAAAAATGTTTTTGGACTTTGTCGCTGAAAGATACCTTGGTCCAAAAACGAATGGGAACCCCTGGTCTATAGTATATGTCTTTTATTTAAAAATAAATAAATTTTATATATATATATATATATATATATATATAATAAATTATTTATTTTTTTATATATCTTTATATTGGGCCACTGAATAAGAAACCTCATTACCTCTAAGCGTGCGTGCGTGTGATCTCACTGTTTATCAGACTGAGCAGATGTGTTGGGTCACACTTTGCTGTTATCTTAACAACAGCTGCTCAACCTAATTTGCCTGTAGTTGTTACACTCAGAATTTTAGGCTCCCTTTAAATAACATGAGTAAGTTGTAACTGGCATATGACTGGTGTCCATTTATTTATATATACACACAAGTATTGTGACACCTGACCGTTACACCAATAGAAAATTTTATGACCTCACATTCTAAATACATAGACATGCAGTTGGTCACCCTTTGCAGCTACTCTTCTGTGAAGGCTTTCCACAAGATTTTGTGGGAATTTTTGTACATTCATCCAGTAAATCATTTGTGATGTGATGTTGGACGAGACGTCCTGGCTCGCAATGTCCGTTACAGTTCATCACATAGGTGTTTGATGGGGTTGAGGTCAGAGCTCGAGGTCCGTGTTCTGTGCAGGCCGGTCAAGTTCTTCCCCACCAAACTCATCCAACAATGTCTTTATGGATCTTGCTTTTGTGCGCTGGGGCACAGTCATACTGGAATAGAAAAGTTTTTATGCTGATATTACCGTAATACCAGTAGAAATTTTTAACTCTTTAGCGATGGAATCAGCAGAGCATTGGTGTCTTTTACGCCTCACCACTTGGAGACACCGCTTTGTGACTTTACGTGGTCTTCTGCTTCGTGGCCGACTTGCTCCTGTTCCTAAACGCTTCCACTCTCCATTAATGCCACTTACAGTTGAACGTGGAATATTTAGCAGGGATATAATTTCACGAACTGACTTATTGCAAAGGTGGCATCCTATCACAGTACCACGATAGAATTTACTGAGCAATTTGGAGTGACCAATTTTTGTTTGTAAATGCAGATTGCACAGTTAAATGTTTGTTTGACTATTGGCAATGGGTCTGACTCAAACACCTGGATTCAATAATTAAGAGGTGTGTCCCAATACTTTTGTCCATATAGTGTACAGTGGGACCTCGGTTTACGAATTTAATGCATTTTTCGGGACGTTTCTTATTGCGAAAAATGTGTAAACTGAAACACGGTTTCCCATAGGAATGCATTGAAATACGTAATACGTTCTGGAGGACAGAAAAAAAGTCAAAATGAGCCGGCATGGAAACCAACCCACAATGCAGAACACACAATAAAAGGCATGCTTGAGAAATGCACCAAAAAGTCCCAGAACAACTGCAAACAATTTCCAGAATGGCTCCAAAACTCGATGCAAAAGCCGCTCCAACACCTCCACACTCGATGCCACATGCTACCCACAGGCTCCAGCATGCAGGGGCAGTGCGATAAACCTCCCAGGTGTAAGGCATCCTGGGGAGACTTGCTTTGTATTGCGAAATAATTTTGTAAACCGAGGCATTCTTTTCAAGGGATTTTCATTTGTAAATCGAAAATTATGTTAACCGAGGCGTTTGTAAACTGAGGTCGCACTGTACTTTCATTTTACATTTTTGGATCAGAAGTAGCTGCGTCCCACTGAACTTTGTACTTTCTGGACGGAATGGGCGCTCCAGAGAGACCTTTCCAGGGATATGAGCGAGAGCTCTACATTAGTACATGTGTTTTGGGGTATTTTGTGTCATGCACTTTCTGTATCCGGGTGATAATTAGTTTAACCAAGAGCTGACTCCATTATCTCCCAGACACAGAGGCACCTGGACGGGCTTGTGTTACTCTGAATGGAGACCCCATGCTGGGGGTCTGTGTATAAATTATTGTGCTTTGCCCTAGTAAAACCAGTTCTGCTTCACTAAGTCATGGCTAGTGCTTGGGTGAGACAGCGGTACCTTGTGCAGTGAGGTATAATTTCTCTGGAGAAAGGGGCAACCTAGGCGGTAGTAACCTATCTTCTTGAGGGTATGCCACCACATCAGCGATTCCCGCCTTGTCTATTCCGGGGTTGCGCCGATCACCCCTCCCTCGCGTCTGGCCTCAGACACCTCAGCCGTTTAGAGGAAGCCGCGGCAAACTTAAATTGCTCATTCAAATTGTTTCCTAGTGATTCAAGGTTGCCCTCTGAGCTCCCTCTTCTCTGAAATTATCTGTGTACCGAACCTCTGCTACTCAACTTGTTTATGCTGATCTCTCCAAACCCTGACCTCGGATTCCATTCAGACATCCCTCTGCCTGCTCCCACTATTACAGTTCAAGGTAAAAAATTAAAGATTACCTTGCTTCCAAAACTCTGGCTTAAGCTTGCTATTTAAAGTGAAATCAGCCTGCATTCTTGCTGCTTATTTTCTCCTGCAATCCTTAGATAGTGATTTCTGCTACTAATACTCTATAGCTTGAATTCATAGTCTTCTTAAAGTGACATGAAAAGGGGGTGCCGGGAAGCAGGGCCTGTGGTGGTCTTCTTAAGTCCAGAGTGAAATGGGGAATAAGATGAGAAAAAACATAATATAGTGTAGTATATTTAGAATTCTTTGGTGGTTATAAATGAAACGAAATGCACTTACAATTTTCTTATGTGGCTTATGATCAGCTCCAGATCTGTCCGCCTGGACGGTATGATCCCCCGTCTGTGGATATGTTGCGTCTTAGGGGGCAGCTTTCCCAGTTTTTGGAGTATTCTTGTAGTGTGTAACAGTCCAGCAGTCAGATCTCCTCAGTATATAGGGAGGAGAATAAAAACAGAATATAGTGCTCTCTGTATGTATTATTAAAGTCTACTCACAAGCAGAGAGCAGATATAGTTATTGCTCAGTTCTAATAGGCGTAGGTGGTATAATCCCCACCAAGGAGGTCCCCATTTAAGCCACGCGACTGGCGCAGAAGCGCTGAGGTTTTCCCCGGTTCCAGCAGGGAAGCGATCATTGGCAGAGGCACCCAGCCAGGGTACAGGGAGCTCCGCTACAGTTGTAATTTTACCACACTTATCAACAAAATAGATGTAGCTTAAAAAAATTGGAAGTCTGCATATATCTCATGGATGGACAGAATGTCAATGATAACCATGAATATTCTTTCAAGGATACCTTTTTTTTTTTTTTTTTCTAGGCTATCCCGATTTTGATCCCAAAGTCTTTCTTTAATCAAATTAGGCACTTGTTTTGTTGGTTATATCTGGGGAAAGAACTCCCCACGTCTTTCCTATACTCACTTAGTAAGACCCACTGGTTGAGGTGGGTTATGAGTCTCCGATATATACCAATATTTTCAAGCAACCCACCTTACCCTTATCTTGCACTATTAAAATTAAGATAAGAGTTGGATATCAACTGAGTGTTCACATAGCTGCTGACACAACACTTTTTCTACTAGATTGCTACATTAAGCGGCTCTATCTTTGCACACTTTGTTCGTTCTATTTTGTAATTGGAACTGCAGTATCCCTTTCTTATTGTCCGTTGTGGCTGCACTTATTAAAACTTGATAGTAGTAATTATTTTGTATGTAGTACAACATAATGTATTATTCCTGTTTTGTAAAAAAACACCCTGCACCATTATTATTTGTGTTACTTATTTGAAAATGCAAAAATTAAGAATATATAAAAAAAAAATTCAATGTGTACAAACTGAAAAGGGGAAAGTTTTTAGATTTTGTTTTATTTTATTAAATTATGTTTTATATATAAATGTTTGTTTGAAGTGAAATCCTGAATAAAATTATATATAATAAGTGTGGAAAGAGGTAAATTATGGTTGAAGATAAATATGCCTCAAATTCCAGATTTGTTTTGTCATTATTTTCGTTCAATAAAACGGTTTGTTGTTCTCCAAAAAAGAGTGATTAAGCTATCAAACTGTCGATCGTTTACCTTGCAATAATCTGATCATTATCTATGTATTTCTAATGCTATGTAACTGTTAAAGTAATCAGAAAAGTTTTTTTTATTCTTAATATGAAATCTTCATATACTTGTTATACCTGCAAGAAAGTCTTTACATTTTAAAACGATCTTACTGACTTGTTATTTAACACAAATCATACATATATAGATCTAAAGAGAGCGTGTCTTACCTCTATACATCCTACTAACTGTCTATTTCTTACTGTCTCTCCCTTAGCAAACAAGATAAAATGCTTATAAACTTTGCCACCATGGAAGTGGCCCTGAGTCCAATTTTTGACCGCATTAGACGACTTTCCACTTCAACTTGTCCCAGCCTCCCCTTCTGCACCCATCTTAAGTACTATTATGAAGAAGGTGATAACTCCTGGAAAGAGTTCTCCCCGGTGAGCCTTCCTTTTCATAAAAGTGGTGATAACCATGTATCCCAGGCCAACAGATGATTGTGGCGGGGGGAGGGGGAACATGTTACGTTGTAATAACCCTTCATCTGTGGGGTTTATTTTATTTTTTTAAACCTGCAGGACGTAACGAAATGCATAGAAGAAAACGCGAGAGATGGTTTCCTTATAATTTGTATCAAGACTCGACGTTTTAATTACCTTGTAGATCTTCGCCATCTGACTCAGGAGAACCTACAGACCGGGACCAGGAGGAGGATCAGGGCCCGTCCGTTGTTTCAATCCCCAACTCTGATGTTATCTAAACTATGGTAAGGCAAAGAGTAAACTGCTAGTAATAAATGTGTTGCATGTTTCATATCGCCAGTCGTTTTGCAGTTTTGGAGCTGCGACCTTACAACAACTTATATTCACTATATTGCAATGCACCTTGCATGGTAGGCAATGACCGAAATCACACAATAAACAAACATGAAATATCTTTTAAATATTGGGCTATGGCCATGGTATGTGTTTACTTAATTTAAAGATTGGGTAAATCAAAATATTAACTGCAACAAATTACAATCCTAACTCCTAACTTTTCTAACATTACTTTTACACCTTCATATCACCAGTCAGACATTTTATAACCTGACTCCCTGTTACGGATCCCCTATACTCTGACTGAGTATATCCATTGAAGTCTCCCAGGTACCAAAGTGAAGCAGTGATTATAACACTAAGCAATAAGGAAGGGAGACAGGAGAAGGGACAGGATAAATGATAGAGTGTCCTGCAGGTGGTAGTTGCCTCGTTATAGAGGGGTGGCCTTAGGATAGGTTGGGCTCGGGGAGATCACAAAAGAGGAAAGATAATTAAAACTTCACTTTTAATGTAAATAGTTAAAAGGGGGGTAAACAAACAACAGCTACAAATTAGTAGTGTCAATAATGTATCGATATACCAGTACCCGGGCTCAAGGAAAAATAGTGAGCTGCACTGAAGCTGTTAACAAAGCTGATAACAATGTTTACCGAAACTGACTTAATAACCCACAACCCATGGGTAGAGAGGGGTTAACTACCAAAACACTGGTAATCCTAGTGTTATGGTACGTGCTGGCGGGAGTATCTGCAGTAAAATAACTAGGAGGTGCAGACTGCAAAGATATTGCCTGGTATATTCTGCAGTAACTGGCTTAATAACCAACAAGCTATGGGTAGAGAGGGGTTAACTGCAAAAACACTGGAAATCCTAGTGTTATGGTACGTGCTGGCGGGAGTATCTGCAGTAAAATAACTAGGAGGTGCAGACTGCAAAGATATTGCCTGGTATATTCTGCAGTAACTGGCTTAATAACCAGCAAGCTATGGGAAGAGAGGGGTTAACTGCAAAAACACTGGGGAGTACCTGCAGTATAATAACTAGGAGGTGCAGACTGCAAAGATATTGCCTGGTATATTCTGCAGTAACTGGCTTAATAACCAACAAGCTATGGGTAGAGAGGGGTTAACTGCAAAAACACTGGAAATCCTAGTGTTATGGTATGTGCAGGCGGGAGTACCTGCAGTATAATAACTAGGAGGTGCAGACTGCAAAGATATTGCCTGGTATATTCTGCAGTAACTGGCTTAATAACCAACAAGCTATGGGAAGAGAGGGGTTTAACTACAAAAACACTGGTAATCCTAGTGTTGTGGTATGTGCAGGCGGGAGTACCTGCAGTAATAATAACTAGGAGGTGCAGACTGCAAAGATATTGCCTGGTATATTCTGCAGTAACTGGCTTAATAACCAACAAGCTATGGGTAGAGAGGGGTTAACTACAAAAACACTGGAAATCCTAGTGTTATGGTACGTGCAGGCGGGAGTATCTGCAGTATAATAACTAGGAGGTGCAGACTGCAAAGATATTGCCTGGTATATTCTGCAGTAACTGGCTTAATAACCAACAAGCTTAACTAACCAACACACTGGTAATCCTAGTGTTGTGGTATGGAGTACCTGCAGTATAATAACTAGGAGGTGCAGACTGCAAAGTTTAATTCTGCTACAAAAACACTGGTAATCCTAGTGTTGTGGTATGTGCAGGCGGGAGTACCTGCAGTAACTACAAAAACACTAATCCTATGTGCAGGCGGGAGTGCAGACTAGGAGGTGCAGAAAGATATTGCCTGGTATATTCTGCAGTAACTGGCTTAATAACCAACAAGCTATGGGAAGAGAGGGGTTTAACTACAAAAACACTAGGGATCCTCCTATGCTTGTGGTCCCTAAGTACTTGTGCCTTCGAGGGCACCCCCTTAGCCAAAAGCCTACAATCTCCTATGGAAATACAAATAGAAAATTTCCCACCAATACGGCTACAATGAAAGACGTGTGCTGGGAATGCCTAGACTTTGTCGGCTGCTTCAAGTGCTGCTGGGTTACGGCCGAGCCGATGCCGATAGAAAGCTCTAATTGGTATGGTAAGTAAGGAGGTCACTCTTAGTGCAGTGACAGGTCACTCTTAGTAAAGTGACTGGTGGATAGCGCCAGTGATGTTTCCCCTGACGCGCGTTTCACCTCACAGGTTCATCATTGAAGTCTCCCAGGTACCGAAGTGAAGCAGAGATTATAACTCTGAGCTACCCCAAACATCAGCCTAGACTTGATCAAGGGTACAAATGAACTGTTTTATTATGGCCAAGTTGCCTGCTTATATACACAACCCCCGGCAGGGGATCTCCACCCAGTACAATGCAAGCCCCTCACAAAGATCTCTGTGCCTGGGAGATAATTGCATTAAAGACCGGTAAGCTAATTTTCTCCCAGGAACTGAGAGCAAACATAAAAAATATAAAACATAACAATAACAAAACATCCTAAAAATATATAATAACCCAACAATAACCCCAAATAGCGCTTCGATCCATGCAGTGTAGAGGAAACGCCACCGTGTTAAAGTTCTGACCAGCTGCACACATGGTCCTATGCCCAAAACCGTTCCAGGGCGTTTGGTGCTTTGGCCGCAATGCTGGGTGCTCCACCTGCGTCTCGGGTTTTGTTTGTTCTCACTTAGTCTCAGGCACCTTCCCTCCAAAAAGTGCTCTCCTGGCGGATTTCATAGTCGTTCAAAACCCAGGACCAAGTTGTCCGGGAGCTGCACGGTCACGTCATGCCGAAAACAGTTCCATAACATTCGCGGCTGAGTCCCCCTGAGGTGACCGGGAACCCACAAAGTCCTCATGCTGAATTTAGTTCCATAACGATAGCGGCTAAATACCGCTGATGGAGCTAGTGTTTGGTTCCATTTCAATGAAGGGAAAGTGCCGAACCAGGGAAAGCTGCTAATGGCGGCTGTGGAGATTTAACTGCTGAACAGGGTCTTTGGATATGGCCCATAGTCCCTGGGCAGGAGGCTAGCTAGCAGGCTCCTCCAGGAACTCATGGCATCGGCAGTTTCCCACACTCCCCTAGTACATAATAAATATCAATACTGCATAACTTTATTAGCAGAAATTTTCCCCCTTCTTTCCACCCCCCAGGATCACAAAACAACTTGACAATAAAGCAACAAAGTAGTATAGGCAGGGTGGGTTATGGTCCAGGCAACACTGCAGGGTCTTAAGTCTTCACAGTGTCCATCTCTCTCCTGAATTGTGTCCTGAAATAAATAATAAAAAAAACGGCCGTTTTACAGCCACTATCATAGCGCCACACCGCAAACCAATCCAGAGCTAGTGCTCTCTTCCCTAGACATTGCCCTAAATCTGCCCAGCCTTTTGCAAAATTCTGCCTAGCAATCACAAATCTACCCTTTAACAGCTCTAGGGTAGACTGACCCCTATTATTAACCCACTTCTTGCCACCGTTCCTGTAGCCTGGGCCATTCATTTCATATTTGCTATCACACGGTTACTCCTTACTTACAAAGGGGGAATTTCTATAGCTTTATTGGTCTGTATGGGGATGAAATTCCATCTATTCATGTGTTGTACCTGGGGAGGGCCAGACTCTCATTATGTTCCTGTATGTCTCATTGTTTTCTCTGTAGGACCATTCAGAACTTTCAATCTCCCACCTTCTGCACAAACTCCCACCCGGCAGCTGGAGGACTGTACCCTGCGACCTGGCACATTACCAGTACCACTCTAATTCATGAGAGAGTACTCCTGGACTGTGAGGAGCGAGAATTCCAGGAAGTGTACAGCTATTTCCATAAGACCGTGCCAGAGGCTGAGTTTCTGATCCTTGGGATCTACAGACTCCAGAACTACTTCCAGTGGCAGAAATACGATAGGTGAGTGCAGGATATATACAGAGTTTGTATACTCCGCAATAACTACAGAGAATACAAACTATTACCCTGCAGTCACTAAGTGTTTTTATTCATCAAACAGTGATTCCTGAGCTGACACATTTTCCAGACACACAAAGCATTGCAGTCTGCTTATGTGTGTCCTTTTTAGATTAGATTTGCAGCTAATACAAGCAAGTTGTCAAACCTCTCCCCTCCCCACAAAAAAATAAATCCTGCAAAACAAATTCCGTGCATATCTTATTTGAGATATCTGCTAAATTGTTTTTTTTTTTGTTTTGTTTTTTTTTCCTTACGGAGTGTTGCTCTTCTATTCGGTTTTCAATTCACAGAAATTGTGTATATAGTGTGTGTGTGAGACTGTGAATGGCTAATAAAGTGTATATCTCTTATTCATGACATGTTATATCTTCTAAATTGTGGCCAAGGCTCCTAGATTGCATGTTAAAATATCCAGTGCTATTATTGCTAACATTCTGGAGATTCTAAGTTTGTGAATGCCATAGGGGTATCGTTGTCCCTCGAGAGTTGCTGGGTGAATGTGATTGGTATATATACTGTGAGGTCAGTATTGTTTCCCATATTGTTCCTCTGTCAAGCAATGTCATTCTCCACAATGGGATGGTAAGATGGAATCCTACATGAGAGCGAAAGGAATAATAAATGTTTGTCTTTCTCCTGCAGCAAAAGGATGTACATGACTCAACGCCTTGCTAAAACTGAAGTGGATCATGTGGAGCGCCATCTTTTTCACGGTACAGAACATGCATTGGTCGAGGCCATTTGCAGACAGAACTTTGACACACGAGTATCTACCAGGAACGGAAGGTCTTTTGGCCACGGATGTTACTTTGCCACAGAAGCCAGTTATTCCCTTTTCTATTCTACTGCTGATGCCCGTGGTCATCGCTTCATGTTTCTGGCCAAGGTGCTGGTGGGACGCTCCACACTCGGCAGAGCTGAACTGCGACGTCCCCCTTCAATCAACCCCAACGACCCTGAAAGTCCGCTGTATGATTCTTGTGTCAATCAGATTAATAATCCCAGCATTTTTGTTCTCTTTGATAATGACCAGTTCTACCCATATTTTCTCATCCGTTATCAGAAGCTACGCAATATTGTTGCCTTGGACTGAAGTGAATCAGTAGACAGGGTTTGGAGTGATGTTTATTTTTTGTTTAAAACCTTTAATGCATGACTCAGAGTTCAGTAAGTAATCCTGTCACCATCTTCAATGAGGCGGACCTCTGTATTTGCACGTAGTGGACTATTGTCCGAGTTCCACTTTGTCTCGCCCATCAGAAACATTTTTGTGCTAACGTGCCAGTCCTGCGCCAGTAAGAGACTCATTGGCATGAGGTTCGAAGTGTTTTTTTTGTACTGCTGTATCCTAGATACAGTGAATAGTAAATGTCTATACAACTAGAGGTTAGTGCAATGATAATGTAGAATTCTTGAAACCATGTTTGTTTATAACACCAGCAGGGCTATTAAGAATTGCTGGGAATTTCAAATTTAAAGCCAAAATAGCTGAATCTTTTCCAAGTCCTCTATGCTTCCATGTCAGCTACTTTATCTAAAATTCGAATTCCTGACAATTCTCACCTTAGTAAATAACCCTGCATGTTTTTCTGGTTAGTGTTTTGTGTTCCGTTTGCATTTAAAACCTCATTTTAACTGAAGGCTGAAATGTATAATGTTTTACTTCTGTGATGTTTAACTACCTTCACTGTAGTGAAATACGTTTTTGGATTAATACAGTTTTTTTACAAAAAAAATTATAACTGCAACTTGTTTTCTTTACACATTCCTAACATTTAGATCAGTTTAGCCCTAACCCCCTTCACGGGGTTTGTATATTGTGATCGGGCAGTTTTTTCCTGTTGTATTTGTTCCGGGGTAATTTGCCTAGCGTAGTCATTTAGTGCACAAATTAGTATTGCCGTATATACTTGAGTATAAGACAAGTTTTTCCCTTCAGATTAGAGGCAGTGCTTTACAACTGGGATTTCATCACCTGGAGGGAATAAACAGGCAGGCAATCTCCCAAACTTTTCAAGAACTTCCCCCAATTAACCTTGGCCTTATAAATTGCTTCCTACCCAAGACATCCCCAGCTCTTTGCCTGCCTCCGGCAGAGGAGGGTGTCTGGTTCAGGTTTTCTCCCTAGAAGTATGGTGAGAGGGCTGAGGCTCTGGAGGCTCTACTTCTTTTAAATACATAGTTACATTGCTGAAAAGAGACTTGCGTCCATCAAGTATGAAAGGATAAATGCTGTTCTGGACTCAACTCCCCTCGATTCTCGATCCCCCGTCACCACATCAATTGATGGGAGATCTTGTTTGGCAAATAAGACACACAGACACGAAAGAGTGCTCAACAAGTTCTCAATGAGTATATTTTCAGGGCTAGCATTTATACACAATTTCTCATGCAAGCAGTGAAGTCTATAGTGTCCTTGTGGTTAATAGTACATACTTGTCGGACATGAAAAAGATAAGCATTTGGATGAAGACGAGACAGGAACATCCTAAGGTCAAGGAAGGTCATACATCCTGTAGAGGAAAGACCTTGGTACAAAATACATCTGCCAAAGTCAGCATAATTATTTCAAACATTATTTTAAAGCATATAAAGCAAAAAGAGTTAACCATTTCACTTCCTTACATCCCCCTCTTTGAGCAATTAATTTGCTCATATCATTGATAAGATCTTCCCAGGTCAGAGAAACTTCCACATGGTATTTTCAGGGGTGCTAGTCACTCCCTGCGGGACTTTCATTAATTTCTTCACCTCGATTCCCATGTGGTAATTCCTAAGGCCCAGTTTTAAAGATGGGTTGATAGCCTCCAGTGGCAGAGAGGAGAATTTCCAATTGTTTCTGTTCTGCATTATGGATTAATTTCTGTATTCTCTTCCTCAATGTACAAGTAAGATGGCAGTTATATAAAATCATACCCAATACAATCAGGACTATAATAACAAGAGGATAGAAGAATGATTTCATTATCTGGGATCCAGTAGGGGACCAACCTGTAAAAGCATCGTACCAATGATGGGCTAAATCATTCTGAATTTGTGAACTCACCTTAAGGAGTTCTCCTTTTAGGATATGTGTGGCTACCTGTGTGTGTACTATAGCATCATTATGTGTAACAAGATGTTTAAACATATTTTGTTTTCCTTTCATTAAAGAGACAATAGTCTCAAGAGGTAGATGGTAATCTTTAAAAGGCAGAGAGCCTAATAGGGCATTAATATGTTTGTCTAAAGTGATTGTGTCGCTGAAATAATATTGGGTGTCATTAAGATCTAACCAGGTAACATTAGTCAAACATCCTGAAAAGGGGAGAGGTAGATTAATACTTGTATTACTAGTAATTATCTTTGTAGGGAGGTTAGTTGCCAAACAGATATGTCGTGTGCTTATTTCAGTCATGGTAAAATAATTTTCAGGATATATGTGCCATATGCACTTGTTAAGTTCATTTTGGAGTAAGCATGGTTCATAAATAGGGGACGAGTGTCGACATGCATATCCTTTGTCAGTGAGAACACAGTGTTTAAGGGAATAGGTCATATTATCTTTGGGGAAAATATAGTCCCCTGTGTATGTGGGTGCCCACCAGGTTAAATTCCTGGTAAAGAGATCATAAACTGGTACTGGTAATGTGTTAAATTGACAAGCTAATTTAACATCCTTTGATGATGTATGATATAGTGTAAAATAGCATGAGCATGAAAAATGTGAAACATTACCAGTTAACCATTCATTGCATTTAGTGGATTGGGGTTTTAGAAGTAACCATTCATTATCTGTGAGGTCAAGCATCCCTCTAATCTTCTCTAGTTTAGGAATCATTAGTGTGTCTTCTAATGCCAGTCTTTGTTGTTGCATCCATAAATACCTGATGGCACAAGTACTCCAGTTACCAAGATCTGTAGTGAATTTCATAGTTGCAACAGTTAAATTACCTAAATAGTTATACATTGATGTATCTAAATCCAATCCTGTAACCTGTGATTTAACAACAATTGGAGCCCAGTTTGCAGTAGCATGGAAACCAGTCCCTATATGCATGCTGGCCGTGTTTAACTTATTCTTGAGGGTCTCCATGTCTATACTATTTAGTATACCCATAGTGGTTCCAGCACCTCCTAACAGTGTGTCATACCATTCCCTTTTCTGCCTTTTGTTTGCTGGATTTTCACCACAATGCTCTGTGCAACACCCCAATGGTTGAAAGGGTTATTACAGAACCAGCGGTATTAGACAGCACTGCACCTTCAGGACTTTCCAGGTTCTTGCGTGCAAAGTTTATGTCCTCATAAGTATCTCAGTTTCTTTGGCCTGCATGGATAATGACCAAACAGATGTAATTGCAAAATACTTATTGCATGGTCAGCCGGAGAGATTGATGTGTAGTCCCAGAAATCAGGTGGCACAAACACTCCAGGACGGTCTCTACAATCATACAAACACAAGGATCAATACAACATCATTAATTAATTACCTAGGCTAAACTCAAATTAGAGACTAAAGTTAAACTCTTAACTAGTGTAACATGTACTTCTCTCAGTTTTGCTTATAATTCATTGAATTTGTCCTTTATAAAATTTGAATACATAATTTCCCTTTAGAATGCCTTGTATGGATGAGAGAAGCACTCACTCTATAGAAATGTTTGTTAGGATGAATATTAAAACACTAACATTTGCATATACATTCCCAATAAAATTTTGTTCCTAAACTTGAACCTTGATTTGATAATCTCAATTAATTACTTAAATAAAATTGGAATGCTGAAGTCTGTCAGTTTTGTGGACCCTGATAACCTCTTTGGAAACCAGTGGCCTCTGATAAGGAAGGGACAGCAAACTGTAGACATATGTTATATTAAGTTGCCCTCACTTGTCAGGTCTTGGAAACACACTTATTTTATTGCAGATGCCTCTAGGATACCACGTTACATATTGATTAAGCATACTTATTATCCTATTTTAGTTATTTCACATTGCGCAGCCTATGCAAACAATGTCTAGGTCCCAACTTCAGCTTGTACATCCTCTAAGAGCCAGTATTAATACTGTTTTATCTATCAAAACTATATATAAAGTATTAAAAACATATTAGGCTGAGGTTGTTGGGTGTGGGTATAGCTTGAAAGTTATGGTTGGTATTGAGGAACCTGCCAGAGTGGGAGTCCTTAAATGCCAGCTGGGCCAGGTTCTCCCCTAGCACCGGGTTCTCCTTTGTCTCCTTGAGCACCAGGTTCACCATTGTTACCCTTAGGTCCAGGAGCACCAGGGAAGCCAGGGACACCATCAATACCAGTGGGGCCAGCTTGACCAGGAGAACCGGGTTCACCTCAAGCACCTTGGGGTGAATCCCTGCTATCCACAATTAAAACAGTGCTGAAGTTACCACCTCTACAAAAGTTAGAAACTTTGACCAAATCCTCTACCTTTGCCTTTAAAACTTTTCTGATTCAATCTCCTATCACCTCCCAAATTTCTTTGTCTCGCCTGCTTAGGATCACAATCCTTGTGACTGCTACAACATACCTTTTCCTTCTTTCTTTCTATCAAAACAACCTGCTGTATCTTTCTCATGAATCTTCCCAAGAAATTCATTTGGGGTCAAAAAGGGCCAGTCACAGACCAGCAAGGAACAAAAGTGAACAAGGAGGAAGCATATTCTATATGCAGGTCGGGATTACCGAACTCACACCCCCTCTTTGTGTACCACACAGATATAATATTAATAAGCTTTTAAACGTTTAATGGATAGTTAAATTGTGTATAAAAAGCAAGGTTGTCTAGGGGTATATACATCGACAATGAAAGCATAGCCTTCATATAGGGCTTGAAATACTGACAGTCTGTGTCATGAGCATAATGCAGACATGCGGTTAGGTACTTTTCCATTGTTATAATATATTGAAAACACTAAGACTTTGCAAAAAATTTTAAAACACATATTGCTTCCTGTACCTGAGGCCGTGCAAGGATGTAGTTAGGATATATTTCAAATTGAGTATCAAAAGTTTAACCACAAAACTATATGTTATACACTTCTTAAGAAAACAAGTTTAACCCGTTAGTGCGTACTTTGGATAGCCTCTTTGCATAATTTGGCTCCTAGTGAGATTATTATATTTATCCTCTTCTGGATCTGCAAAATGCTTTCACTTTACCGATACAAATATAATACAGTAGTTTAGGAGATTAAGATTAACTCACTTATAAATTTCCGAAATTGTCTAATCTCCAATAAAAATACCATGTTATTATTACCCCATAATCAATGAGGCATTCTAGATGAATCTTACTTTGACACAAACAATGCAATATACTTTAAAAGTAGAGTTAACTCTGAGCTGGACAATACTCCCCTATTAGAACTCCTTTATGAGGGAGAGACATCTTGTCCATTCAATCCTTTTTATCAGTAAAAGAATGACTTTCAGGATTAATCAATTTGCAAATGGAAATGAAGAGCCACGATTTGAACAGCAGAAGTTTGCGGGGCCCCTTTCACGTGGGATGTAACAAGCGCTTTTCTTGCTCCAGGAGCGATAGCATACAATTGTTTCATTCTAGCCGGCTGGACAGCATTTCACCTTTTGTAAAAACACTAAATGCTTGCGTTAATGATATGCAAATTACTCTGCTAGTTAAACTCCTACACAATGGACAATAAAATACATGAAACACATAACACACCAATTCATT